AGAAATGGGCATGATTCTCCCAGGTTTGATTGACACCACCTCCACCTGCTGTCGAGGGCAATTGGGCTCACAAGGTTGGATGGTTGGAAGGTTTGGTTTGGGTTTTATGTGGTGCGTAGCTCTTCCGCATGGGCATCGTTTGTTCTGGCCAATGGTGTGGGCTGGCACCCCAGACATTTGATGGTTGCAATGGCAGTTCCGTCTTTAGTCCAAGAAGATGGTGATTGGAAGCTCCCATACATCCATGGACATGTTGCAGGTCCCAGAGGACAGGAACTGCTCACCGGTCCTGGCGGCGATTCCTAAGTTCCACGAGGTGTGTGAACTGACCTGCGCAGATGCCGCAGAATCTAAAATGATGAACCTATGTGCAATGCCACCGCAGGGCCCCTTGAAACAGATGGGTGAATTAATCATGAGTCAAGGATAGTCAAGGTACAATCTAATCACCATGAATTATTGAAGGGGCTGACGCCCAACAGCGGGCCAGCAGGCCAAAAGGTGCAGGGTGGGAGCATCATCATCATCATCACCATCATCATCATCATCACCATCATCATCATCATCATCAGCCTCAACAAGAACAAAAACAAGAAGAAGAAGAAGAATAATAATAAGAAGAAGAAGAAGAAAAACAACAACAACAGCAACAACGCCAACACCAACACCAACACCAACACCACCAACACCACCAACAACAACAACAACAACAGCAACAACAACAACACCAGCAGCCGCAGCAGCAGCAGCAACAACAACAACAACAACAACCAACAACAACCAACAACAACAACAACAAGAAGAAGAAGAACAACAACAAGAAGAAGAAGAGCAACAACAACAACAACAACAACCACAACCACAACGACAACGACAACGAGAACGATACCGACAAAGACAAGAGCAAGAACGACAACGACAACAACAACAACCACAACCACAACCACAACGAGAACAACAACGACAACGAGAACGATACCGACAACGACAAGAACAAGAACGACAACGACAGCGACAACGAGAACGATCACCACAACGACAATGACAACGACAAGGAGAACGACGACGACGACAACAACAACAACAACAACAAGAACAATAGCTTTCAACAACAACAACGACAACAACAACTACGACGACTACGACAACTACAACAACAACCACCAGAAGAAGAACAGCAACAACAGCAGCAACAACAACAACGACAACAACAACAACAAAGACAACTACGACAACAAGAAAGACAAGAACAACAACAACAAGCAGCAGCAGCCTCAGCAGCACCACCACCACCAACAGCAACAGCAACAACAACAACAACAAGCCCAACACCAACACCAACAACAACAACAACGACGACGACGACGACGACAACAACAACAACAACGACGACAACGACAACGACAACGAGAACGATACCGACAACGACAAGAACAAGAACGACAACGACAGGGACAACGAGAACTAGTTGTAGTTGTAGCTGTAGTTGTAGTTGTTGTAGTTGTAGTAGTAGTAGTAGTAGTAGCAGTAGTAGTAGTAGTAGTTGTTGTTGCTGCTGTTGTTGTTGTTGTTGCTGTTGCTGTTGCTGTTGCCGTTGTTGTTTTTGTTGTTGTTGATGATGATGTTGTTGATGTTGTTAATGTTGTTGTCTGTGGCATCAATTTGGAGCTAAGTTGGGCCATCTCAGGGCTATGTTGGGCCATCTTGGAGCTATGTTGAGCCATCTTGGGGCCATGTTGGGCCTATGTTGGGGCCATGTTGGGCCTATGTTGGCCCATCTTGGGGCCATCTTGGGCCTATGTTGGGCCATCTTGGGCCTTGGGGTGATGTTGGCCCTAAGTTGGGCCATCTTGGGGCTCATCTTGGGCCATCTTGGGGCGATGTTGGGGCAGGGGGGTACCCCCCGAACATTTTATGTGAGATTTATGTTGATTTTGTCCAAGAGCAACTAGACGACGGATGGCCCGAGAGCGTAGAGGAGCAGGGTCTTCTCTTGTTAGTATGGAGACACCATATTGCAAAACAATATATTAAAGATGTGTTATAGGCATACGAGAAGAGGAGTATCAAGACAATATAGCACAAGTACAAGACAATAGTTTGCATCGCAAACACTTTTACACACAGAAGCTTTTACACACAGAAGCTTTTACACACAAAAGCTTTCACACACAGAAGCTTTTACATACAGGCACTTTCACACACAGACGCTTTTACACACAAACACTTTTACACACAGACGCTTTTACACACAGACGCTTTTACACACAGACGCTTTTACACACAAACGCTTTTACATACAAAAGCTTTTAGCCACAGAAGCTTTTACACACAGAAGCTTTTACACACAGACGCTTTTACACATAGACGCTTTTACACACAGGCGCTTTTACACACAGAAGCTTTTACACCCAGACCCTTTTACACACAGGAGCTTTTGTGCACGCAGACGCTTTTACACGCAGACGCTTTTACACACAGAAGCTTTTACACACAGGCGGTTTTACACACAGACACTTTTACACACAGACACTTTTAAAACACTTTTACACACAAACGCTTTTACACACAAAAGCTTTTAGCCACAGAAGCTTTTACACACAGAAGCTTTTACACACAGACGCTTTTACGCACAGACGGTTTTACACACAGTTGCTTTTACACACAAACACTTTTACACACAAACACTTTTACACACAGAAGCTTTTACACACAGACGCTTTTACACACAAAAGCTTTTGCGGAAATCGCAATTTTACCTCATTTTTTGGCGATCGAACCTCGTTTCGTGCGAAATGGTTGCGCGGGACAAATTGAAATCGCAATTTTACCTCAGTTTTTGGCGGTCGAACCTCATTTCGTGCGAAAGGGTTGCGACGGGAACCCGGAAATCGTAATTTTACCTCAGTTTTTGACGATCGAACCTCATTTCGTGCCAAAGGGTTCGCCGGACGACTTGCAAATCGCAATTTTACCTCATTTCGTGCGAAAGGGTTGCGCCGGACACTTTGATGGCCACAGCCATATATGACCATGTGATTGGTACGGCGATCAGCATGGGGCTGATTAGATGCTACCTGCAACAACCATCAACCATCAACAGCCACCCAGAGCCAGAATCTTTCATGTCATTCATGATCTAATCCTGACTACCAACGAGTTCATCATGCCAGAGATCTGAACAGCTGACGATGCCAGGAACACGTGGCTTCGCACCCTTCTTCATTTTGGATCAAGATGTTCCTGCCGGCCAGTTGAGACCGCCATTTCAAGATACTTTGTGAAGAGTTGCTCGGATGTTCACTAACCCGTGAATCTGGAACCATCCTTTGCAAGCTTATCCCCAAGATATCCCAGTTGCATCCAGTCGCAACAACTCTGTTTGAGATCCGGGGAACCTCAGGGGTCACCTGAGCTCCGGAACGTTTTTTTTCACTGATTTGGATGGGGCCCCTGTACGCAGGACCAAGCCTTGCCTAGGATGTTGACAATGAAGATATTTTCTGGGTAGACCGACCGAGCCATATGGCATGAGGAATCATGGCTGTCCCTTTGAACATCAATATCTGTATCTGCATGGTATTTGAGCTATGTCTTGACTTGAGTGTATTTTTCAAAGTTCCACCTTGTCAGTGTGTGACGTTTCAGGGGTGCAATAGGGGCCAATGTAGAAAGCTTCGTGTAGTCCTTTTTCTAATTAGTTTTTTTCCATTGGCAAAGGGTTGAACCCACGAATGACTTCCCAGCAACCCAATTTATCGTGCAATTGTCATTTGCGTATTTCCACATGGTGTTTTCCTTTCGGATCTTGCCAACAAGAACCATTAGCATTTTTTTGCAGCGGTAACCGAGTGTACCTGCGCCTTTAGATTTTGAAGTCTAGACAGCAGCGGTGCGCCTCACTATGGTTCACTGTTCACCTTCACCTTATTGACATGACCATGCAGCATCCCTGACACAAAGTAAATACCTTCAGATGCGTCAGGTACATGGAGCATCCAGGCTTTTCTGGGTTCCAGTGCTGCGAAATGCTGCGAATTAATGTTTGCCAACCTGTGTTTGTCTTTAATTTTGTGGTTTCTGCCGGATTCGTTGGTCGTGATATAGTCTCTTGCTGTGCAGATCTCATATGAGCAGACTCATTGGTCTCACGGATTCTTTTGGCACCACAGCAGCTGGTTCTTCCGTTCTTCCCCAACGTTTGTTTGTGAATTTGACAGTGTTCTTAGTTTTTTCATGTTCCTTCTAGTGGGTTGAATTCTTTCAAGAATTCGTTGCCATGCCAAAGCTGCGACATGGAAGACAGGCCGCATTTGACCGCCAGAGCCTGGGCAAAGCCCAGGCGAGCGCTGGCTGTTTCCCATCTCAAGTCGCAGCCTTGCTGGAGCAGGAGAAAAACATTGTTAGCGCAGGCGAGTGCAGGACAATTGGACAACAATTGGACAACAATTGGCTGATTTTGTTCAGATTCTGGATGAGACTCCTTCAGTGCGATTCCTGATGATTCAAGACACGATTTATTGCACTTGGAAACCAGGTCAGGTGAAGGATTTCCACCTGGCCACCAAAATCGAAAACATGTTTTTTGATGGGGAAAAATTAGAGATGAGCACATGACATCATGATCCAGGCTGTTGGCAAGGTGAATGTAAACCATATAGTTTCCACGTATATGTCCACCTTGTGAAGTCAAATGTGATTGGATGAGGATGAGGGCCAAAATGGCATCAGGTTTTTCTTTCACGCTGGCGGGTGCTTCTCATGAAGAGTGTTGACTTGCAGAAACTTGGCTCCCAAGGGTCGGTTTGCAAAAACAGTTCAACATGCAGGAGACCAAAACCAACGAGTATAGCCTCACACTAAACCAACCGCGCTTGGGGCATCGTCCTTCACGATGTCGCCCTTGTAATTGAAGGATGTTCAATTTTCAATGCGCATGCCCAATGTGCACCTCAAAAAGTGTACGAAAACATCACAGATCTTCACGAGTTGGTGCGATCGGCTTTGCCACGCACATTGGGATCGTGCAGCTGATTTGCAGGCCTGACATACCCCGAACCGATCTGGAAGATAGTTATCCAAAGTGGATGCACATTTTTCCACACCGTGATTTTTTCTATGGTGGTGTTTGATGTTTGCCTCATTTGACAATTCTCAATGATCTATGGATAGCGGACAACACACATGCATTCTATTCAAAGTCAGAAGACTTGGGAGGATCGCATCCCAGCTTCCAGCAGCCGTGAAGCCTTCGTTTGACAGATGGATCGTTGTTGGATCCAGGCAACCTAAAAATACAATAAAATACCAGCTGTTTTTTCTGCAGCTTGCAAACTTCTACACTTTCATTACAGTTTTCAATGTTCTTTCTGGGGGTGACCAGCCCAGACCTGACGACCCTCACCCGTTCTTCGCATGGGGAACTTTTCAGGTGCGAGCCGGAGATGGAGCCAACTGAGGCTATTTCAACGGGGCAGTAGATGGCTGCTGAGCATCAAGGGATTCTCTAGGCTCTGTAAAGAGAGGTGCTGTGCAATCAAATTAGGTTCCTTTCAACTGAAGCTTTTCACTTGCCTATGTCTATGTCATTCACACGATGTTCTTCTTTGCACAGGGTTCTCTTGATAAAGGAGAGATCGGTGCTGTACACTGTACACATGTCACTGCGCGGAGGGCTATTTTTTTTTTCGCGGCAGGGTTTGGATTTTTTTTTGGGGTTCCTGGTTCTATGCTTTCCTGTTTCTCTGATTTTCTGCTCTCTGCTTCTCTGCTTTTCCTGCTTCTCTGCTTTTCTGCTTCTCTGCTTTTTGCTTTCCCTCTTCTCTGCTTTTCCTGCTGCTCTGCTTTTCTGCTTTTTGCTTTTCCTGCTTCTTTGCTTTTCTGCTTCTCTGTTTTCCCTGCTTCTCTGCTTTTGTACTTCTGTGCCTTTCTACTTCTACTATTCTACTTTTTCTTTTCTTCAGTCATGTGTTTTTGCTGCTCTACTTCCTGCTCCTTTGCTTCTTTGCTTCCTGTCTTTACTGTCTCTTTGTTTTTCATTTTCTTTTGCTTTATTCTGGTCTGTTTGTATCCTAAATAAAACCCTAGAGAGACCCTAGGTGAACCCCAAAGAAACCCTAAAGAAACCAGGATAAGAAACCCTACATGAAAACCTAAATGAACTCTAAAGAAACCATAAATGAACACTAAAGAAACCATAAATTAATCCTAAAGAAACCATAAATGAAACCCAAAAGAAACTTTAAATGACACCCTAAATGACATCCCAAAGAAACCCTAAACAACACTCTAAAACAATAAATGAAACCTTAGCTGACACCTTAGCTGAAACCTTAAATTGACACCCTAAAGAAACCCTAAATGAAACCCTAAATGAAACCCTGAATTGAAACCCTGAATGAAACCCTAAATTGAAACCCTAAAGAAACCTTAAATGAAACCCTAAAGGAACCCAATTGAACGTTTAGAAATCGTGCAAAAAATCCTGATAAGAAAGCCTGGAATGAAACACTAAAGAAAGCTTAAATGAAACCCTAAAGAAACTTTAAATGAAACCCTAAAGAAACTCTCAATGAAACCCTACAGACACCTTATATGAGACCCTGAATGAAACCCAAACTGAAACCCGAAAGAAACCCTAAATGAAACCCTAAAGGAACCCAATTGAACGTTTAGAAATCGTGAAAAAAATCCTGATAAGAAAGCCTGGAATGAAACCCCAAAGAAAGCTTAAATGAACCCTAAATTGAAACCTTAAATTGAAACCCTAAAGAAACTTTAAATGAAACCCTAAAGAAACTCTAAATGATACCCGAAAGAAACCTTAAATGAGACCCTAAATGAAACCCAAACTGAAACCCTAAAGAAACCCTAAATGAAACCCAAAATGAAACCGTAAACGAAACCCTAAAGAAACCCTAAATGATACCCTAAATGAAACCCTAAAGGAACCCTAAAGGAACTCACTTGAACGTTTAGAAATCGTGAAAAGAAATCCTGATAAGATACCCTGGAATGAAACCCTAAAGACATGTACAAGTGTAAACTTACACTTTTGCGTGTCCGTTGGTGCCCACAGTGACAACGAGCTGGTGGAAGAAGGAAGATGGAAGAAGAAGAAGAAGAAGACGAAGAAAAAGAAGAGGAAGAAAAATAAGAAGAGAAGAAAAAGAAGAAGAAGAAGAAGAAAAAGAAGAGGAAGAAGAAGAAGAAGAAAAACACGAAGAAGAAGAAGAAGAAGAAGGAAACCTGAGGAAGAAGGAGTCGCACATTTCATGAAAAGCTAGAGACCCTCACCTGGCACGTAGGAAGGCATGGGAATTTTGGCAAACTGCTCGTAGTTGACGGGCCCAAGCAAAGCGTTAACAAAATTTCAGAGCATTAAGCAGACGTTCCGGAGTGGCTTTATTTTTTGATTTTAGACATCGTCCCCGGGAAAGAACCACCAACTATACTGGAACCTTTACAAAAAAAAGTGGGGAACTTCAAGCTACTTGTCTCGTACGTGTCCTATGATTGCAAGAAGGATTGGAACAATTTATTCGCAGAATCGTTTCTTCTTGTACAGACCCTGTGGGATTTAGTGCTTGTCGATTGCTGGGTGCGAAAAGGAATGTGTAGTGTATTTGTCAATGCATGTGAACCGGTGATAATAACATTCGAGCCAAGATTCCAGCTCTCAAATTTGACCCCTTTGCACAGGCAAGGCCTTTGTTAGTCAAATCCTGCACGAGTAGACTACTATAGCCAATAGGTAGGTCCCAAAATAGCAGATCATAGTGATAACTGTTTTGGGTAGTTGACATTGCCGGGTGTCTCATGAATTCAATTGTCCTCCGGTCACAAAGAGAGCCCTCATTGATTGTGTTGTATGATGACTCCATGCAGTGCTGTTCGAACGCATGTATTTGCTTCCTCTCCCTGCAGAATGAGGAACTTGAACGTTTGCAGAAACTCTCCTTGGAGCACCAGAAGAAAAGCGTCGCCCCGCTGCCGGTGGTGCGCCTGTACTTTGTAGGCCGAGGGCGTGCCGGCAAGACCACAACTCTACGGCGGCTGAAAGGCGAATCATTCCGAGACGATGAGCCTTCCACACATGGTTTGGATGTTTGGGCAGGTCAGGTAGAAGCAGATCTACAAGCGGATTCGAAGCAAACGGGCCCATGGAAAAGATGGGAGGAATCGATGTACCTCAGTGCCTTGAAGGACACATGTTCATTTGGCCTGCTTGTGAAGTATTATGAAGCATTCATGTTTTCTTTTTAAGTTCCCCCTGCAAGCAGAGTGCATACATTGTTTTTGTTTGTATTAAAGGGCTCGTGTTGATTGCATGTGCCATCATTTTGCACCGCATTACCAGCAGTAGCCTTTCAGCCCTGCTTTACTTGCAAACATTTGTGTCGTTGCTAGTCATAATTGATTTCTTTAGTAACACTTGCCCGCGCAACATTGATGTCTACATGTTGCAGAGAGGACGGGCTTCGGAACCCACTGCTAAAGGCAAGGAAGTACATGTTTTTGTCACAGATTCAAGAACTTGCTGTGCATGCCAGCCGTCGAAAGATTCAACAAGGAACCGTACAGTCATAGAGAATAGACCGGCCAAGCCGGTGCAGAGGGTAAGCAGCAGCAGTCCGTGATGTTTCAGTATGTTTTAGTTATTCAAGGCAATTGTTGTATCAGTGGTTGCTCAAGTTGGGCACTGTTTACTGACACTGTGAGCCAGTGCCAAATTGTCGTTGTTCATATTGACTATGATCGCTTTATTTACGGTTTCATGGTGACGTTTTTAGTTGCGAAAGGATAGGGAATGCCTCAAAAACTACAAGTTGCTTGTACGCCCAAAGTCAAGTTATATATATATATAATGATATATAATGTATATGTATTGTTGGGAGTCGAGGTGGTTTAGTCTCTCCGCTGTTCGCGATCTCATTTTTATTTCTTGTCCAAGACGAACCCTGGATGTTTTTGCAATGGCTTTCCCTTTTGTACTTGAAGCCTGAACTTCAGAAGTTGCAGTGCCACAAGACGCAACCCAATGATACCCTTAAAAGACCATTCTGCATGCAAATATGACCACCACGTCGTCAATGTGCCTAGAAACTTCTTTCTGTCCTCTTCCTCTCATCAATTTCTGTTCCTGTCCTTTTCCATGTTCCTTTCCTCTTTCTCTCCCTGCCTCTTACTCTTTCCTTTCCCTTTTTCACCCAGTATTTTTATCTTTTCGTTTTTCCCTCATCTTCTCTGTAATTTGCTTGCCTCACCTCCTCCTTTTTCGTCCCTCTTCCTCTTGTTTTCCTCTCCTCTGTTTTTCCCTTCCCTGTGCCAAAGGAAGTTGGGTACGCCATGCCACTTTTTTCCATATAGGATATGCCCTAACGAATACAGCCCGAACACACAATTTTGACGCTGGCTCATATTTTGACATTGTGAATTGTTTCAATGTTGCACAACATGTTGCTTCATGCGCAGGGCCCAGAAACAGACGCACTCACCGCGCAGAATGCTGATGAACAACCAGATGACATGTTGGAACCTCAAGGGCTTATTGAGCCAGAAGCAGGGTCGAAAGACGATGAACAGGCTCAATCAACCCAAGGGCTTAACGAGCCAGAACATGCCACCTCTGTTGCAAGTCAAGGACCGAAAGCCAATCAACCAGATGCTCTTCTAGAGAGTTCGGCCGCGGCTCAACCAACCCAAGGGCTTAACAAGCCAGAAGAACATGCCACCTCTGTTGCAAGTCAAGGACCGAATGCCAATGAACAACCACAGGAAGACATATCCTCTTCTTCTGGACCCAAGATGTGCGGGCCGGTTGTTTTGGACGAAGACATGCTTTCCAAGCTAGGCTCCCAAAAAGCGGGCATGGATGTGAGGCTGCAATGCTGGGACTTCCCGGGACAAGAAGAGTACGCCCTGTTGAACCAGCTTCATTTTTCAGAAAGAGCGATATACCTGGTGTTTTTGGATTTGGCTGGGCAACTTGAGGACGAATGGAGGCACCTGTCTTTCTGGCTTTGGAAAATTGCCAGGTTTTCCACTGAGAAGGATGCATGTCCTCCTATTCTCCTGATTGGCACCAAAGCAGGAGCGCGCAATAGATGCGTCACAGGTTTGGAGCTACAAAAGCGCCTGGAGGACTTGCAAAGCAGAGTCCCCCGCTTGAAAGAGCAGCTGCAACCCCATCCAGCGGACTTGGGAAGCAAGTGCACCAAGTGTCCCTGGCTATTTCCAGTTGAAAACAAGGGGGAAAATTTTGAAGCCTGGATCAGTCCTTTGCGGATGCAACTTCAGCGAATGGCCCTACAGTTTGTCTCGCCGCGTGACCTTTGGGAGGCTGAGAACTCGGACGGATCTGTGGTGCCAAGATTTGTTGGTTTGCAGGCGGAGACCTTTGCCTTGACGTGGCTGCGAGCACATGACTTGCTGACGCGGTTGGGGTCTGGATTCAGGCGAGAATTTGACATGGCCAGACGGCTGACCAAGTTGCCACTAGATTTGGCGCAGTTGTTGAGAATGGGGTTCTGACATGGTATTCTTGAAATGAAGTACAAAAAGGGTGTCGTTTTCATTTCCGGTCATCTTAAAAATAATTGCCAGCACTCCACTCTAGCGAACGGCCACAGAAACCCGACAGGGGACGCAGGGGAAGGGGGAAGGGTTCCTTTCCAGAATTTTGCGGAAGGAGCATCAATATCAATAAGAATAAATATGCCAGGACTTTGTAAAATTCTGGCCGAGGAAGCACATGGTCGCAAAATTGTCCTCACCGAAGCCTGTGGAAGCAATTTAGAAAACCTTTATGTGTAGAAGCTGGCACTGCAGCCACGCAAGCGTGGCAAAACCTTGTACGGAAGGGTTGAATATTGATCACTGAGTTGTAACATTGCCACACATTCCATACTACACAATGTTGTCAAATGTCCATGAGAAAAAAGCTCTCTGGTGGTTGTTTCAAACATTCCCCCCGGTCAGGGCGAGAGCTGAGAGGGTCGATGTCAAGAAGGTCGCGCCAAGTGCCGAGCCCGGGCGAAGGTTCAAGATCAAGGACTACCTGCGCGTGACCATAGACAAGGACTGGCTGATTTTGCCGCCAGGTGCATTTATCGGACTTCACAGCCAGGACGAACAGGATGATCTTAGAGAGGAAGAGCTTAGCTTGGATGTTTCGTGTGACTTTCTCGAGCTGAAAGCAGTTCAGGGACTACTCAGAGGAATGCAACCGCAAGGCTTGTCTCATCAGGACACGGAGGAGGTCCTGAAGTTGCTGAGTACATTGGGAATTGTCGTGTGGATCGACAAAGCAAAGCTTCGAGAAACTGTGATGTTGAACCCACAGCAAGTTGCAGTGGCAATGGCAAACTTGATAGCCCTCTGCTTTGGCGCGCACAATTTTGAACACAAAGACGACAAAATCAAGGTCATCAGGAAGATTGAGGACATCTCGGAAAGCGACCTCCTTCGTTTCAGATCCAGCGGCACTGCAACACAGGACTTGATCAGAGGGGTGTGGAAGAAGGACTGAAACCGCATAGTGATGCAACGTGAGGGCATTCAGAATTCAGAGACCTCACTAGGAAGCGCTGATAGATGAAGCGATGCTGCCAAGGTGGATTCATCAAGGGTTCTTAGCAGTCCAGTAGCTCAGCCATTGTGTTTAATAGGATCAATTGGAAGGCCCCATGGACCCCCAAAACGTGAGGTGCAATACACAAGGCCGGGTGTAAAAGTGTTCATTTCTGCTGGAGTGATCCCTCCGATTTTGTGTAAAGTACCCGTATTGACCTATACCAACATGCAGAAGGATAATCAAAGGCAGTTTAGGAGGAACACTTTCGTATCACGGACATTCACAATGGCACGGCTGTGTCTCAACCACGCTGCATTCTATGGGTGGAGTGGGGGTGGGGTGAGGTGGGGCGTTGCCAGTACAGGTAGCGCTCAGTGGTACTCGCACACGGTGATGGTCGGCAGTGACAAGCTGATCCAACATTCGCAAGCAAAACCCCGCCATCTCACAGTTCACCTTGACAACAAAATCGCGTAACTCACTCTCAGGTCGCACAATGCGCTATCAGAACAAATCACTATCGATCGAATCACTACAACAACAACCCACCATTGCAGAACTCACTTCCACAACAAACCAACGTCTTACATAATTATGTGGATCTTAAACCTGTTCTTTTTGACGAAAACCTCGCACAGACCCCTTCAAGTTTCATTCTTGCAGCTTCATTTTTACATAAGCGACGCAAAAAAAAACTTATTGTTTTGATTGGGACCCTGTCAGACATATAAGGACTTTGGCACAAGCAAACCCCTCAGTGGCGTAAGGGAGCTATACGGGGTTGGCCTCAGATTTCATATATGTTTCATACAAATTTGTTGCCGCGTAAGCTGGGACTGTGTCCGCGTAAGCAACGCGTAGGCGGATGCGTAAGCAAATCCTACTGCTAACGATATATGATATATGGCACAGGAGATAGGTTTTCTGGGCCGCTTGCATCTTGAAGTTGCTTTTCAAGTTCCATCTTCGTGCGCTACTTTGTGGAACACCAGGACTTTGACGAGGCGAGCCAGCAGCTACTTCAAGAGGTCTTGCTCAGGAACGACCTGATGTGTGAACGACTTGTTCAAGGTGAGTTTGTGCTGCCGAGCTGTTTACCCATAGCACACTGTGCTGAAGAGGCAATTCGAGAGACAGATGAAGTCTTGTATTTGGATGTGGTTGGTTTGCTGTCGCCGAATTTCTTTCCGGCCTTGGCACATCTGATTTATCGCAATATCAACCTTGAAAATTCACCGACGATCTGGAAACCAGGGCCACCCCAGGTTTTCCGAAATCGAGGCGATCTTCACTCTGACACTCATTCGGTCTTCACATCTATGTTTCCAGTCAATGCGCCCAGCAACCAAAGCTTGTTGCGAATTTTAGTCAGGGGAAAGGACCAGAAAGCCAACTGTGGCATTGCACAAGAGGTGAAGAGGGTGTTGCTGAATGACATCCTGGTATTCCATCCTGGAATTGATATTGAAAAAGATCCCAGTCTCTTCTTTCGGTTGAAAGGTGTCGCAGGCAAAGAGACTCTGGAACGGGAGCGCAGCTTTGCTCGCCATCCTTGCTTGAATTCACAATGCAACCTGACGTGCTCTCTCTGCAGAGTCTCAGAATTGCTGCAAGAAAGGTTTCTTCCTGACTTAAGTCCTGGCCTCCGTTCCATTGTGGAACATGCAGCCGTCCAACGACACACGCGCCCTGCTGGCAGCTTTCGCTTTAAAGCCATGCAGTTCCCAGGTGATGTTGATCTGGAAGAATACTTGGTAGTAGATGCCAAGAGCAAGGATGAGGCTTTGCCCACGCTTTGCCGTATTATTCAGGAGATATTCTGGGGCTTGTCTGCTCGAAATTCAGAGGTTCAAGTCTTCTTTGGAGGACTCAAAGCCGGCAGCAATCTCGTAGAGAAAGCCCCTGGAGTTCAGAAGGAATGGCTGAAATGGTCTCAGCAAGAGCTGTGTGATGGCAAAAAAGAAATGTGTAGGGGTGCCAGTGCAACCCCAGTGTTTATGACACTCAGCAAAGCATTGGAGGAGGGTCACGAAACTTGGACAGCCAAGATCGACATGTTTGCGAAGGTGCGCCTCTTTGAAGATTCGGAAGCAACGGAGCGTTTCTTCGAGATCACCAACGTTCTGCGAGCTGGATACTTTGAAGGATCGAAGCCCATCCAGCCTATCACGAAAGAGAAAGACTCTTTGCAGGGAATCGAGATGAACTTGAAGAAGTATTCTAGTGAGGAACCCAACGCCATGAAATATGTGAAGCGTCTCTGGGAAAGGAGTGCCTACTTAGCACAGCGAGGTTTCGATTTGGATTGGCACGCGAATATGCTGGAAGCTCTACGACCGCTGCTGCGTCACTGGTCTGCCGAGCTAAGTCAGATCGCTGCGCATGTCGAAACCCTCGTGAAGATGATGAAGTCTGGCCAAAGAGGGGTGATTGAACATGCATTCAAGGACCTTCCTACACTTTGTCACTCGGCTGCAGTAAAAAATCAATCCTGGAGTTTTGATAACATGTGAGTGCATGCTGTTTTCTCTCCAACATTGTTGACAGAATCTTGCCCTTAGGCCAGAGTTTGCGCAGCTTGCAGTCTCGCCTGGAGAGCGAGAAGGGCTCGGAGAAGGAAGCAGCGCAAGATGGATTGGAGCGAATCCGAGATGCCATGAAGTACATCCCAGAGGAACCACCAAGGGAGTCAGGAACTGAGAAGAAACTTTGCGAAGGTCTTCGTAAAGCTCAGCTCTTGTTGGAAAGCTGCGTGGAGACGGTGGTCATCAGCAAGTTGGGATCTTTCGAATTCCCGGTGGCCAAACGTCTTGGTGAACTCTGGCAGTTTCCCTCTGACCATCCGCCGATTGCGGCCAAACTCACACTTGGCGAGCGTACCATAAAGGTTGCTTCATGGAATGTGCTGAATAGGAACTACTACAAGTACATTGATGCAGACACGCAAGGATTGAAAGGCTCACAGATAACAACATTGCATGAAGCGGAAACAAGAGAAAACATCATCATTGCAAAGATCAAGAAGATGTTGCTGAAGACATATATCCACATGTTATGTTTGCAAGAGTGCTGGCCGGAGCTAGTTGCAGAGCTGAAGGCAGCTCTGGGTGAGAGCCTTCAATTTGAGATGATCTGCAGTGGGGATGAGCAGGACAAGAACCAGGAGGCAAGTCATCGTGAGTCTTCTGATTTCCTCCTGCACCTTCCCCACTATAGATGCACAAAGTCGTGCACTATCTAAGATGCCCGGTGGGCATCTACAATATAATCACACAATCTACATAATCTATCTAATCAATTCTAATCCTACAATTAATACCAATTTATGCAGTTTCTATTTATTGTGCAACCATTGAAACCGTGCTCTGTGCACTAGTCCTTGTCATTTCAGATTTTGTAAGACAACGGTGGGTATATCTCAATTGTATTAAATTGTTCCATGCTGTATGTGTCCCAGCTTGGTTGCAGGTGATTGTCTTCGATTCCAAAGTGAGCGTGTTGCATGCTCATCAGTATGCCGCCTTCTCAGAGAACTCGAAGAAGGCCCAGATTCAAAGTTTCCTTATTTTTGATTTTTGAAATCCATGTTTGTTGGTGACTGTTTGTTTGGCGTTCAGCTGGACATGTTGATTGCGCATCCGCATTGCAACGAACTCCCATGCAATCCTTGATGGACCGGCTTCATCGTTCTGTCGCAATCGGTCAGGTGGTGACAGAAGTCCGTTTCCAGCTCGGGATGGAGTCGTTGCGTGTGGTGACAACGTGCCTGAGCTGAGCAATTTTCCCAATGAGTTCATGAACATTTCAAGGATTTTAATGTCTAGGGAAATTCCATGAAATTCCAATGAGATCATTATTTTTAGGAAGATTTCCAGGTTTAGTGGCAGTCCCAGCTGAGCCCTAGGCATGTGCCTGGCGCTCCCTTTGGACCTGCTCGAAGCGAATTTGCGGACTGCCTTACGGAGATCGTGAAGGGAGAGACACTCCCAACCGTGCTGCTGGCAGATCTGAACTTCCCCGAAAAGGCCTTTCAGGGGACAAGTTGAAGGTAGATTTAAGAAGACCTGCCCCAAAAGATGGGGATGGTGCGTAGAAAGTGATGTGCAAGGATTGGCCTTGCTTCAAAAACATTGTATAGACAAATGAACACCTTGTTGCCCTGCTGCCCCACAGTGTGACCAACAGGCGGTATATCCTTTGCTGCTTGACCGTGGTCTTGAAGACATCAACTTTATTCCAACGCCTTATCCAACGAATATTTGCCAGGTGCAGCTGTTGGTGGGTGGGCTTAGCACGGGTTGAAGCCAGTCGAGTCTTTGAATTGAGTCAGCAAGAAGATGCCAGGGGTCCATGCTGCCAAAGCGCATTGACTGCATTGCCGTCATCAACCACAAGGCCCACGTTAGTTTGTTTTTGCTACACGGTCATATATTATATTTTAATGACTCACCCTTCGCAGCACTTTGTTTGCACCACTAAGCGGCCAGATGCTTGAAGGCCAAGCAGCAAGGTACTTCAAAGTAGATGTCACTTCAAAAGGTGACATTGGTTGGACCATCCCCAGTGATCAGTCACTGACGGAAGGTACCACCAAAAAGAAACTGACCCCTTAGCCACGAAGTGAACTGATCAGTGCAGCAATGTCGCGAACCATCATCCACGGGTAAGGTTGCGCCACCAAAGTAAGGAAGACGCCGTTCTGGTCATGACCTTGCAATGCGACGTGGGGCTTGTGTGTGAATTCACAGTGGTTGTATTTCCCATGACATCGCTTAGCAAGTGGATGAAGGTGAATAAAATTGTAAAGGATACTGGTCGGCTTTTTCCATGATTCGCCATAGGCACAATAATCCAGGGTGAGGTAAAAAGGAGAATACTTGCAGCAGAAACGGTTCACCGTAGACATGTTCCACAACATACTGCTAGCCGGGTTCTCCACCATATACGGGACAGAATACTGCTCACAAACTTTAAGAACACGTAGAAGAAAAGCCAATAAAAGGTTCCCTTCATGTACCTTCTTGCGATCAGCGTTACTAAGGTCAGGTAATCCCCAAAGAAACTCATCAGTACGCAAAGGTCCGGGTCCCAAATTGTCCAATTTTCGCGCTCTAGAAAAAGTTGTGCATGGCATCCCAGCCCAAAGGAATAAAATGCGCCCATGCTGAATCCATGAAATGATCTTTCGCTCGACGTGCAAATCCAAAACATTGTGAGAAGGAAACAAGCAGGTGTCAACTGGAGAAGTAGGAATGCCAGCAGCTGTAACTGCAGCGGCCAATCGACCACTGCCTGCAAAAAGTTCAATCCCAAAACGATGGGGTCGATTTTGCAAATTAAGGATATCAACTTTGTTCAGCCAACTGTGGATCGAGCAGGCGTCATGCCCAACATAACTTTCTCCATGTTCTTCTCGCTCCAGAGGCAGAACCTTTGGCTTGACACACTCAGTTGATTCAACAGCTGTTGAACTCGTCCCACTTTGCTGTACCGACGGACGCTTTGGTCTGTGCGCCATCGGCCACGAATCTTCACCATGTTGAAATCGCGACGTCCTGAGGTGAGGTCCTTGGTCGCCCCGCCATGTCTCATTTGGTAAGGATGTAGCCCGGGCACACCCAAGTCCACTCCTGCTTTCACAAAAGCTCGACGATACTCCTCCATCTTGAAGTTGAACAGCTTCCCATCTTTGCTCTTCACTGACTGGGCATGCTGTAGCAGCTGGTTGCCCAACCAAAGATCCTGACTCTTGTCGAAAGGCAAGCTGTTGTCGTAAACACCTATCTTGTCCGGCTTCTTGTGTTCCTGGTCCCTGATGATCACAGTCACCCATGCATATTGATTTCCTGCCATCTTCACTGGCGCTACCACATGGCGTTTGCAAAGGTCTGCTGCTTCTCCAGGCCTCAGGTACAAGTTGAACATTACCAAAGTCATCAGAGCCATGTCTCGCTTCCCTTGTGCCAGAAGTTGCATAGCAAGGCCATGCATCATGATCCTGGGAAGAGGAAGGTGGCTGGTTGCCGGCATTACCCGTCTCCATCCTCGAAGGGCACGACGGCTGCGCACCATGCGGCCTTTGAGCTGGACGAACTCGAATTCCAAAGCGGCAAGAGTCTTTTCGCCCTCGTGAGCTGACCTTCCATCCTGGAACATCACGTCCATGAAATCGGCCATCAGTGGGTCTGCGTCCATGTCGGGCATAGGCCACCGGACCTCGCTCTCCTGACAGAAAACCTTGAACCTCTGAAGGTATAGGCCGTATTGGACTCTGCTCTCTTTGGAAATACTCTTGCTCTCCAGCAAGGTCACCTTTCGAGATTGCGCCAACTTCCCAATCATCTTGTCCTCTGGATCCTTCGGCACTATCGCCGCCTGTATGGTACGCTTCTGCCTCTTGCTCACCGGCAGCGGTGCCATCTTGTCTGCGATCACTCTCTTTGCACTCTTCTGACTTTTCTTCTTCTGCTCGACCTGAACCTTCAGATCTGCTCTCAAAGTTCGGCATTCGGATTTGTGCACTGGCTTGTGAGACTTCTGAAGCTGTCTGCTTGACTTCATTGCTACTGGGGCCACCGTCCTTCGAGAAAGCACCCGGACGGATCTGCCCTCTGCTGGGGCCATCGGCTGGATTGTATTCAGATGGAACCCATCTGACAGAAAGGCCCAAATTCGCAGCCAATGATATCGAGCCCACTTGCTGCATTACTCTCAGCATATCATAAGTATGAGCACGACCCTTTCTAACTGCAAATGCCAAAGCAATGTTGTCCAGAAAAACCAAATGACGCTTCCCTCGATGTCGACTAGTTCTGCTAAGTCTCCTAAGTGCTAAAACCAAAGCTCTACCTTCTTTGAGTGTGATGTGCTCCTGAGTGTTGCCCCATTTGCCAAGACCAACGGTTTTCCAACGTGAGGGAGAGAGAAAACGAGGAGGAATTTCAGGAAAAGCATCATTGTGAGAATATTGCTGGCACTCATCCCATGTATTTGCATCACCAATCACTGTTCGGACATCCCCAAACACATCCCGAGCCAAGGCACGTCTTCGTGGAGCCCACTCAGCGGCAGGTAAGCGACGAAAGCGCCAGCGCTCATTCCACTGCCCCATGCTTCGCACTTCCTTTGCGGTCAGAGTCGATTCACACATACCATATCCCTCGGGAGAGGCATCTGTCGATACCACTGTTGTACTCCACGGCTTCCGCAGATCTGCAAATAACATGGGTATAATACCAATAAAATTCCAACACTCTTCACGTTCAATATCTGTGAGATACCGTGCTTCACCTCCTTGCTCTACCATATCGTATAGACGTCGGAAAACAGACATACCTGCTCTATTTAAAACACAGATAGTCATGGCATGGCCTAGCAACTTTTGCGCCAATGCTGGATGAACTTTAGCAAAAGTAAGGTATTCAAATGCCAAACTAATACGCCACAAGCGCTGATTGCTTGCTCTCACTTGCCCTTTGTCCCCATCAATGACCCCCCCCAAAGTGCAACAATATGTCGAAGCTTCCGTCTCCTCATGCAGATCAAAGCCCATCGAAGTGAGCTTCTCTTGGACGTCATCACATCCAACCTGGCAGACACGAGGATCGGTGCTCATAGTATGAACGTTGTCACAATACGGCATAGCCAAACATGACTTGTCATCCACATCAGGGGCAGGCTGACCTTCTAGGATCAAAGAAGAGCGAGGTATACCAAGAGCTTTCATAGCGGCTTGTTCGTGTAACACCTGAATAAGATAGAAACTCCAGCTAAAACCCATGGGCAACACGGTGATACAAGGGCTAACAAAAGGAATGTTGTCCTCAATACTCCACGCACCATTGGAAATGAAGATGGCTTCTGCAGGTGTAATATCACTTCTGAGGCAAAAGAAATCAGACATGCCAATAGGACAATTCACCGCGTAGAAACAGTCACGAATGTCCGCTGTTGCAACATATAGTTTCTTTCCCTCTGGAAGTTGAAGATTTCCTAAAGATGCCAAACTCCCCAACTCCGTCATTGGTGGCTCTCTGAATTGCAAGTTCGTCTGTCGACAGTCGAGCACTAAACGCTGTCTTTTATGTTCCACACCATCAATGAATTTAGACTTCTTCGAAACACAAAAGGCCCCAACTCTTCCACGGCATCTTGAAGTGTGACCCAAGACCCCAGCATCAAACAAACGGCGAAGAAAAGTGAGATAGCCCTTTCTAGCGGACAGAAGCTGATCATTGTATGGGGGTACTTTGCATGACTCATCCTCAATGAACGTCCACGCATCAGCATCCTGAAGCATGAAATTTTCAAAGTCCTCAACCATGTTCTTGGTGGTACCCTCCAAGCTGTCAACCAAGGATACGCCAGCGACCCCACCTGAAGGCAGAGACAACTTGGACAGCTCCATGTTGACAACGGATCCCACGCCGATGTCAGCACCATCTTCATATGCTGACCCGGCGCCCGGAGCGCACACAAGGCTCCTTGGCAGCTTGCTTCAAGTGGAGCTCCCATGCATTTGACGCACTGCAATATGTTCTGCATGGCATCACGTTGAAAGCAGGCAGACCTGAAAGACTACTTACTTCCCACTTAGTATATTTGGAGGATCCACCAAACCACATTGAATTCAAAGAATTTACAGCCAGATTAACTCGCTTGTTGACTGAACTCCGAGCTTCTAGTCTACGCCGAACTGCCCTGGACAGCGATGCGTTCGAAACTGATTCATCAGCAATGGTAGGCAAAGGAAAGATATCTCGTCTCCGCTTTGACTTGTCAGAAGGAGGATGAAAAATGGAACTCTCCCGATGCCCCACCATAACGGCAGCACCACTACCCAGCCCAGACCAACGAAGTTGCCCTTGGAGAGACAAACAAAATCAAAAATGCGACCACCTAAGAAAAAGTCAAGGCCCCCGGCAGTCAAAAAAGGGACCTTGAGCCAGTGCTCAAGCTGTGGTCTCCGCCGCCTGTTGGGCCCCTTTTGGACCTCCTTTCGACGGCTTGCCCTTAGCTTTTCCTTTGTTTTCCTCCAACTTGCGACGCTCTTTGAGGATTTGAGCATCAGCATGTAACCTCCGCGCCACATGCTCTGTAAGCGATGGAATGACTATACCGCCTCCAGTTTTGAAACGGTTTCCCATCCAGTATTCGGCCCCTTCGTAACTGGGGGCGTTTGGACTGTAGCTGTGTGCTTCCGCCAGAAGCTGGCGCCTACGCACCAGCAGCTCAAAGCTGGCCAGGTTGCAGACAGCCAATCCATCATAGCACACTGCAACATCTAATATATGCGCCAGGGTTTCATCCTCATAGATCGCCCTGGATCCCTCCGGGATCTTCGCCTGTTGTATCCATTGAAGATGTTGCCCGTAAGCGCTCTCTGAGACATTGACAATGGCCTGCAGATAGGGTAAACACGTCCTTGGCTCATACGGAAAATCCTCCATCTCCGTTTGAATGAGCTCCCCAATGGACTCTTTGAAAACCCTTCGTCTCGCACCGCTGGCAGTATATTTGATAGATAATGTCCTGATGTCATCGGCAGCTGATCTCTCTTCCCCGTCAACAGCAGTTGCATCCCTGGCACACTGGATGCGTTCGTCGCAGAATGCAGGAATTTGATCAATCGCCATCTTCTTAATCAGAACTGCTCTTGAATTGCCATCCATATCAACCATGCTCATCAACCCATAGTCACCCAGCGTAGGAAGTCCGGCAGGTGGTACTACTTGCTCACCAATTTTGCGACCACCACAACACTCTCCTAGAACCCAAACTTCAACCGGTGCTGCGGCTAAAGGTCCTGGCCCTGCACCTCCAGCTACAGGTAAGGCTGCCCCAGCAGCTGCTGCTGCTGCAACAGGCACACCAAGTACCGGAGGTAAACCAACCATTCCCCTGGCTGTTCTTTCAGCCAATGCTACCGCTGCTCCCTCTCGCATCAGTCTAGAATATTCCATAGCAGTCATGGGTGCAAAACCATAGATGCAATTGGCAGGGACCCCTCTCGGGAGCCCCCCGCCTGGACCCCCCAAGTAAAAGTGCTGGAGATCTGGATTGCTACCATCTAAGATCTCGGTATACACATCCAAATCTGGCGTTGCAATCGTGAACTCGAATGTACTGCTGTCAACTTCGGCCAGCACCAAACGGGCATGCACAACCCTTGGTCGTTCTCCGTAGTCTAAAAAGACTACATTGCCCACACTCACCGCCATCCTGACTTAGTCTGTGATCTGCAAAGCCCTTGACGGGTTGTAAACCCCTTTGGATTTTCCCTTTACAGAAATTGCCACTTCTCGATTTTGACCCTTGTCGCTAACTGTGAACCTTACAGCCAAAACAAAGTTGGCAGCCAGACCCAAGATGCCAACGAATAAAGCCAAGATCACTCCAGGCCAGAACGGGGTGGATGTGCCCTCTTGCTGAACGTGATGTGCACACTGGCAATGGCAGTTGCAGGGGATCTTCTCTTCGACAGTTGGGAAAAGACCCTTAAGGTACCAACCAGAGATCAATCCAGCAATCGCACAGCCAACCGATTGAATGTCCATGGAAGAAAAACTACACTAGCAAAAGAACTTGAGGTGAAAGACGGCCACAACTTTACAAAGTGAAAACTCGGACGTCAACCACCTACCCAGTAGGACATATACATATTTTATTATATTTTATGGTAAATGGAACACGTGACAGCATTGCAGTCACCAACCAGATTGTATGCTTCTATGCCATATGATTATTTTACTGCGGTTCCTGCATGTTATGTTCCAATCATTCGTAAATTCAGGAATAACATTCCTGATTCGCAATCACCAACATCAATAACACATCAACATTTCATGTTATAAACTCGTGAATTTGTGCTGGGAGATCTGGGAGATCCATGATCCAACCTGGGCCATGCCAGGTTGCATCCAAGCTGCACGCCATTGCGATGGGCGCCGAAGAACTGCTGGAAGGCCTTGACCAAGTGGTGGAGCTCCTGCAGTCGAGGCCATGGGGAATTCCTGTCGCGGCAGGTTTTGTTACGAAGGTGTTTTACTTCTGGATGTGGAAAGTCAACTTGAAAAGATAATTAACATTCAGCGGTTTGGTATGGTTTTAACAGTTTAATTTTATACGCTAAGTGGAGTGTTTTTTGTGTGTGTATTATGTCCCACCATGGGTAAAGACTCTGGGTAAGGAATCCGGTGAGGAATCTGGGTTTCTTGCAAGTTGGGGGCGATTTGCAAGGGTCGAAGGATAGTAGACACTCTCGCTTGGCGGAGGACTCAGCATTGCTACTATAGTAGTGGATTTTCAGTCAGTTTGGCCAATTCAACAGAATGGCAGCCCCATCTCATCCCACCATCATCCCATGTTTAGCATCGCATCATCTACATGTGTACCTCAAATCAGCCCCAATCCCTTGCAGATCTGCGGTGCCTTTGACGCTAACACGATATCATTCAGACAAGGCCCGGCTTGGAGTCGGTCGCCGGAGCTGTAAAGAAGTTGTTGGCGCCCGCCCAACGGTGCTCTACCGTGAGACAAGAGATAAAGTTCACCAATGTTTTACATAGTCTTTTATGTGTGTTGTATAATGTTGGGCGCTGACTTATGTAGGGCCCCCCCAAACAATTTTAGGATACACTGTAGTGTTATTTTTGTTTAAGGCAAGGCGCTGAATAGTATGTGATCAATTGATTTCAATTGTCAATTGACTTTCAATCGATTTCAATTTACTTTCAATTTACTTTCAATTTACTTTCAATTGATTTTCAATTGATTTCAATTTACTTTCAATTGATTTCAATTTACTTTCAATTGATTTTCAATTGATTTCAATTTACTTTCAATTGATTTCAATTTACTTTCAATTGATTTCAAGTTACTTTCAATTGATTTCCATTTACTTTCAATTGGTTTCAATTTACTTTCAATAGATTTATTTTTATTTTCACTTTACGTTCAATTGGTTTTCAATTGATTTCAACTTACTTTCAATGGATTTTCAATTGATTTCAATTTACGTTCAATTGATTTTCAATTGATGTCAACTTACTTTTCATTGATTTTCAATTGATTTCAATTTAGTCTGAATTTATGTTCAATTGATTTCAACTTACTTTCAATTGACATCCCGTAGTAATCCCATAGAAATATCATGGATATGCCATAGGAATCCCACAGAAATCCCATAGAAAGATCATAGAAATAACATGGAAATAGCATAGGATCCACAAAGACATCCCATAAGAATCTCATAGAATTCCTTCAGGAATCCCATAGTAATCCCATAGAAATATCATAGAAACATCAGTGAACTCCCATAGGAATGCCATAGGAATCCCATAGGAACCCCAAAGAAATCCCATAGAAACATCATAGAAATACCATAGAAGTCCCATAGGAATCCAGTGGAAATCCCATAAGAATACCATAGAATTCCCATAGCATCCGTGCAGAAATCCCATAGAAATCCTCTAGAAATATCATAGAAACATCATGGAAATCCCATAGGAATCCAATGGAAATCCCATAGACATCCTTTTGAAACCCCATAGTAATCCCATAGAAATACCATCGATATCCCATAGAAATCCAATAGTAGTCCCAGAGAAATATCATAGACATACCATGGGAACCCCACAGGAATCCAATAGAAATCCCATAGAAATATCATAGAACCATCATACAAATTCCAAAGAAACCTCATGGAAATCCCACAGAATTCCCAAAGAATCCTCTAGAAATATCATAGAAGTACCATAGAAATCATTTTTAAATCCCATAGGAATCCCATAGAAATTTCATAGGAATCCAATAGAAATACCATAGAAATATCATGGAAATCCCACAGGAATCCCACAGATATCCCATAGAAAGATCATAGATAGAACATGGAAATATCATAGGAACCACAAAGAAATCTCATAAGAATCTCATAGAATTCCTTCAGGAATCCCATAGAATCATAGAAACATCATGGAACTCCCATAGGAATGCCATAGGAATCCCAAAGAAATAGAAAAAACAAACTAAAGACAGAAAAAAAACAAGAAAAGAAAGAACATAAAGAAAGAAAAATATGAAAGAAATCAAGAAAGACAGAATACAAGAATACAATGAAGAAGAAGAAGAAGAAGAATGAGAAGAAGAAGAAGAAGAAGAGGAAACATAAGAAAGAAAAACACGGTTCCCCTGATTTTCCTTGTCATCTGCCCTTTTGGTCCGTCGCCTTTGGTATGAATCGCATCGACAGGTGGAGACTGAGGCTGAAAAAAACTGCAGGCACGTGGCATGTGAAGCCAACAGTTTGTTGAATTCCCTGTGACGGGAATAAGAATGATTGAGGTCCCAGACTCTTGGAAACTGCCACACCGGGACATTGAGTGGTCATACTACCATGTTGTATCATGTTGTTGAATGTAACATGTGGTTATATCAAGTTATATCATGTGTACATCCAGTGTTTGATGTTTAACACCCCATCCTTGTCATTGTGTGCATCGCGTACAAACCCGAGTTACCCGACTTCTGAGTGGAGACCAAAGACATCGACTGTTTCTTGCAAGGCTTGAAATGGAGCTGCATGCAGCACGACGGCGAGTCAAAGTTCTGCAGCGCACCGTGGACAGCCAACAGGAGGCAAGGTGCTTTAATGATGTTTAATGGATTTTAATGGTGTTTAAAGCGAGGATGCGTGGAACCAATGGACACCGGAAAAAGTACAGTAGTTTGGGGTGCAGAAAAGAACCACACATCGAGATATGGTGGAGGTACCGGCCACCGAAAAGGATTGAGTGATTTCGTGCCCAAAAGAGGTGGGCTGTCACGGCGGTGTTGCCACAGGCACTACAACGCGCAAACCAAGAACTTGCGGAATGTCGAGGAGGTCATGCACCCAAGAGAAACCAAACCGTCTCGTGTTTTGAAATGTTTCAGGCGCACCTCAGACATACCAAAAGTGGACTGAAATCGATTATATTTATATGCGTGTGTTTCCTTTTTGGTGATCACTCTACAATATTCACTTCATGTCTCATGCCACGGAGGAAGGTCCGCTGGCTAAGCCTGGCCGCGTGGGCCTCAGGGAGCCTTCAGAGGGGATTTTTTTCAAGTCAGAACCATTTCATAGTGTTCTTTCATGAACAGTGATTGCTTGGCACCCTACCGCATCTTGGATACAAGCGCGGTTCAGACGGATACAATTTGCTGAGAGGGGTCAACCAGTTCTCTTTGTCTGTGAGGAGTTGCCACAGCGCGGAGAACATGGTCAAGTCAGGGATCCATTGCAGGGCTTCGAGGCCCACACGACTGGACACGTGCTCAGCAAAATGCTGACCACTGAGCGAAGCTCCCAGGGTTCAGTTGTACCTCGGTTTCACCTCGTTGCGCGAAGTGGTGTGCAAAATGGCATAGAAAGACGGCTGCCAAGTCAAATGCATCAACTCTTTCGTGAGTTCATGAGTTCATCACGTACCCGAACAATCTTACGGCATGTGACACACTCCCAGTTGCCTGCTTTTGCTCTTTTTCAGCCAGGGTTTATCATGTTACCAGATTTTGCTCGGCCGACATCAAAAATATGTGAAACCACTTAAAGAGCTTCCATGTTCTAGTCTAGAGTGAAGTGTATCGCTTGGGAATAGCCAAGTGTGTTTTCACTTTGATTTCTGTTCCGGTCACACCGAAAAGGCGGTTACCTGTTGCCGCAATGGCGACAGGTTGACAGGTTGACAGGTTACGGGGAACCAAGGTATTGCCCAAAAAGAGATGGTATGACTATGACCAACATGGGAATACACTGACCAACAAGATATGCCGGTTTTTTGTGTATACCCCTTGATCTCCGACATCAAATCATTTAAATCCAGCCAGATCCGCTTTTTAGAATGTGTTTTTTCCATAGGAAAGTGCAATCTGTATCAATCTGTTGGTTTCAAGTTTCAGAAATCATAATGGCAGGGTTCAACCACAAAAGTTGGATCTGTCAATTGCTGATGGGCTGATCCGCCGGGAGACACAGCATTGGCTGAGCTGATCAGTTGGCAACGAAACATCCAAAGCGCAAATTGGGTTGAGATGAGATTCATATTAAGGCTTCAATCAGTAACACGACACCACCCCGATTTTTTGAAGGGCCGTTGATACTCAACAGCACAGGCTGCATCCTTCGCCCCTCCTGCCAAAAATCGCCTGTGAGCAGTTTTCCATTCCCCGATTCTAGGTTTATGACCTCTCCTTCAAGGATGCTCTTGCCCGGCACGCAGTTTCTGTGGCGGGAATGGGGTGGGCAAGCAGTTCGAAAAACGGATAAAAACGGTGCGTTTGAGGCTGCAAAGTTCCGACGTACTCTACACTCAGCTTCAACATGTCAAAAGCAGCGTAAGAATACATAGTATCCGAGTCGGCCAACTCGACTGCAATTGTGAAGACATTTCTGGTGCGGACCTAACTTACCTGCCTTCCATTCATATATAATTCCACGCAGGGTGCCAAAGTACCAACAGGACTCGATTCTTTATCACCATTCGCGCCACTTCGTGAAGTCTGAGACTTTTCACCGCAGTTTTTTGCCCTCTGGCGACCGGGGACCGGGGCCACCCACATGTGATGGCGCAAAGCTACAACTTGGCGCCGGGGCATGACCCCGAGGATTCGCGCTTGGTCCGGGTGACTTCCCCACAACATCGTTCGTCCAAAGGGATGGCAACGATGAGGGGCTGGTGGCTGCTGTCGGCTGCGCTGGGAATGCTGCTGCTGATGCTTCTGGTGGCGATGTGTTGGCCGCACACAGTGGAACCTGTGGAATCTGAAGCTGTGTCTTGGACCAATCAGGCACGAAAACGAGGATGGTGCTAGAAAATCTCTAGGAAACAGATTGACATCAATAAATGGCGGCCTTTCCATTGCCAGGTCGGATTATAGAGCAGCATACTGTTTAGGTCATATCATTCAATTCCATTGCTGGCTATCGATGCCCGCACTTCCACCTCCAAACCCCACGTTGTCACCAAACCAGTGAGCAAAAACCCAGGTTCCCAAATAGTGCTCCTCGCAGTTGCATAGTGCCCCCAAATGTCCAAACTTTGCTTCAGATTTTCTGGCAAATTCTGGACAATTCCAGGCAAAGCTTCGAGGTACCTACAGTCTCCAGCCCTCATGATCTCACCATCCGTCTCCACAGATGAACAAACTCTGCTTGTTTTTGGAACTTTGCGTCTCGCGTGGGCTTGCTATTGGATAATTTTGTCGTTTATGTGTTGGATTCTGGTGGCAAAAAAGTATGTTGAGTTGAGTTGCAATCTTGTGAATTGCTTCAATCAGATCATTCCAGATAAATTTCATTCAATTTCCAGTTTTCTCTCATCAAACCACATACCCTCCACCTAACACAGGCTAATTTCCTCTTGTGCAATTTTTCAGGGTCTATGTTGATTGGGGGATGGCAATTCCCAGGAAAAAATGCCGTAAAGTCCAGGAACATCACCACAACAACCTAGAACACCAGCATAAAATCCAATGAACTCCCAAAGAAATCACCATGAAGATCCCATTCATCTTAGATAGTTCTCATGGCTTGTCGCCACCAGTTCTGGCAGAGGTCATCGATCTGCACGAGATCAACACGAGCCATGGCCCTGTTCCGTTGAAACTCCGCGTGTCGGGCGTGGACTGTGGACTCAGTGGCTATCACCGACTGCTGAATGGGAACTACACCTACCAGGGGAAGGCGGTCACAATTCCAGGAATTGCACAGTGAGAGAGTTTCAATGTCAGGATGTAGGATTGATGTCAAGTATCATGATGTATCATATCAATTCATATCATATCATGATACTGTGTATATAATATATATATATATAATCTGATATAATATGTCAGATGTCAAAAGGTAGCTACTGACAAAAATGATGATCGTTATGATACTATGGAATACGAGCAATGATGATGACTGGGTTTAGCTTTTAGAATTTGAACCATTTGCCTCGCGTTTAAGCGGAAACCGGTACATGTTCTGAACGCACAGGTGTTTTTTGCCGCAACACATTGGAATGTGAACAAGTTAAACATAAATAGATATAGAGTAGTTAAACTGGGATGTTAGAAACTGGGATCACCCAGGCCTGTCACTATCCCCAAACTTGCAGATTTTCAGCACCTGCTCGGCCTTCAGGCGGATGGCCGTGCATTTTACAAATCCGAAGAGGCACACCCAGCACCTTCGGCACCAGGCAGTCAAACACCCTGGTTCTTCACTCCCATCAACCAGTTGCAGGACTGGTTCCAACCAGCAGAGTGGCATCATACCTATTTGTACTACAATGGACTCACTGGACATTCGACTTCGCTCTATGGTGAATGGCACTTCCTCTATTCCAATCATTCAGATGGGAAGAAGATCGCCAAGCTCTTTGTCACTCATCCCTCTGGGCAGCCCCTCGCGGAGGTGAATGTCGCTCCCGGGCCGCCACACGCTTTGCCACCACGGAGGGCTACGTGGAACGTGTTGTGCGACAGCACCGCGTTGAACACCTCAATGTGGATAGCAAAAGAGCTGAAATTCCGCGCCCAGGGGAAGGGCATTGAGACAAACCTGACTGGCCACTGGGAATACGTCAGCATGGTGATGAGAGGGAGCGCGACACTTGAACAAAATAAGATAGAATAAGGCAATTGTTTCTCATTCATTCTACAAAGTTAAGGTCAATGCTGCGAAACCTGGTAGTGTTTTGCACCTGACCTTATGGTATATGCATGTAACTTTTCTTCCCCAAAAGTTTTCCTTCTCAGTCAAGGAGCATCCTCAGCCAGGGCCAAGAAAACAGCCAGATGCAGGGTGCCAGCGTCATGACGGAGGCTGGCATCGATCTGGGTGGCACTGTGGGCAACGACAACGAGCTGCAGGGAGCCCTAGGGCTGCACTATACCAAGCAGCTGACAAAAAGCTGGGAGACGACCATGTCCAACTCCCAGGAACGTAGCGTTGAGACCCGGTTCTCCAGAAGTGGTGCGCTCTTTGTTTGGACTTGGGATATTAAGGAGACGAGTCTTGGAACACATCTGGGGAGTTACAAATCTGCAGAGCACCTCGGAGGAACTATAGAAACTATTGTGGTTTTTGAGTGCCAGGATTGGTTTTTGTTGGTTTATGTCACTACTCACCACAACATCTACAACAACCTACAATAATAAAATATTATGCTAAATTATGCTGGTTTATGGGAGACACATTAGATGGAGTTATGAATCAACTTGTAACTATTGACCATCCATCCAGCTCCAAGTAAGTAAGAACGAGGAGTTCTGAGTTACAGCTACCATGGTACCCCAGGGTTTCCAGAAGGGACCGTTCTTTGGGGGCACCGGACAAGGTGCGACGCTGCGACAATGTTCATCGGGGTTTGTCTGAAAAAAGGCTACTGGAGGATCCCCCAAACCCATGATTTGTATGAAAGGATGAACATCGATTGAATTCTGAAAGGTTTCCAGAATCATCCACAGGTATGCCATCACACAAAGCATTGTGCAGAAACCAAAGTGCTGTCCGGCCTATGCCTCCGACTTTCCAGCCTATCAGCAGCTCAGTTGCACCTGGTTTTATTTTGGGAGGGAAACCAAGCTTTGGGTTTGAGGACATTTTCGATTTCAAGTGTTTTCTGCTTGATTTCTGATATGATATACATTGATACACTCTCTACATGCATTTCCATCAAATGAAGATACCAACCTTCCTGAACATTCCGGAACCATGGCATCACATTCCCCCTGGGAATTCTGGTGGCTTGGTGGCTTCATTTCGGCTTAGGAACTGCCTGGTGGGAGGTGAGCTTCCAAACTGCGCAGTGCAGAGTGCCCATCACTTGTTCGGGTGAAGGCAGATGAGCTGCGCAGCATCGATTTCCTCGATTTTTGGAGGGCTCAATTCAGCAGAAACTCGTAACCAATCAAACTGGAAAACACATTTGATAAGCATGGTTTGAAGGTGAATCAACAGCAAAACAATTCAACAAAGAGAAAATCACCGGTACCCAGTTGTTATATTATTGTATATTATATATTGCTATTGGCATTTGACCTGGTTGATTGGGATTATGGGACCCCAACAGTATCTGTGGGGCCCATCTTTGCACCATTTGCCGACCGGCGAAATCTCTGGACGGAACTCGTTGAAATGGCGCAATGCCGCGCGTACGCTAGTCTCCTGAACCGTCGCAACGCCGACGGGGATCAGGGGTCTCGGTGAAAGTTTTAAGGTGAGGAATTCCTGGAACTTTTCATGCAGCATAGGGATGTTTCTCAGCATAGGGACATATACCAGAAAGTGGCAGTTTTGTTTTTTTCCATATGAGCAAGAGGCTAAACTCTCCGTGTAGGAGGTATGTATTCGAGCGATCTTTCATGTAAAAATATGCATCTTGATATGTAAAACGATATAGTGAACTCCCAAAAACGATAACGTGGGACCCAAAAACGATAACGTGGGAATCATATCATATGTAAAAGCATTGTGGGAAGTGAAGGGGTGGTGTACATGACATGATGGTGGACACCTGTTCTAGAAGCATCTAGATCATCTAGGCTCTCAGTTGTGGGGTAAGCTCACACAACGGAAGATGTGCAAAAGTATGCTGACACTCTTGATCCTGGCCAATTCTTTATTTCTGATTATTGCAAACAGTTTTGTATCCAAGCACGTATTGCTACAGTATGTGGTAACTAGCTGGATTTGGATGCTCTTTTTGTCTCGCCATTGTTCAAGCCTTCCGGATGAGCGTTTTGTATTTTCCCGCTTTCATGCAAGCATTGACGATGACAACAGGCCTCCTTTCCATCATTCCTTGGTTCATGCCATTTTCCAAAAATGTTTCCCTCTTTGAACGATAACGAAAACGATAACTAAACGATAACCATTTCTTGACAAAATGTCCTTCGCTGATGGGTGGCCCAGATGCGAAAAGATTCTTGAGATGATTCTTTGCCGTTGAATATTATCACTTACTTATTGCGATCTTTTCGCTGCTATGCATATTCTTTTGCGGCGCTCCATTGCTTTAGTCAATCCTGGTTCATCTCGGGCACACCGGCACACCTGCACCTGCAGGTCCGGTTTGGCGATCTTTCTCCTAGATGAAGATAGCCAAGGCAAAAGCATTGGACCATGGTGATGGTTTGCTACCCAGACGCTGGGGAGTGAATGAAAGGCATGGAGCATGTCGCTGTGAGAGCTCATCCAGATCTTCCAACAACTGAATTCAAACTTGTTTCTGAGTTTGAGAAAGGATGGTGCAACTGTGATTTGCAGTTGCATTGACAGGTATCATAGCATACCATACAGTTGGAGCGCTGCAAAAGAAAGCGCAGGGTAGTCAAACATGCTTCAGACGCTGAAGTGGAGGTGTAAAAAGGCTTTCCGCACGCAGTTTGCCAGGGGATGCAAAGATGCAATCAGGATATACTGTAAAACGATATAGTGACCTCCCAAAAACGATAACTTTGACCCGAAGATCGCATTTTTCAATTGAGGTTTTGCCGATCGCTCATATAGTTTTAGTGGAGGAAAATGAAAAACAAATAGGAATTTGGGTCCTATCTTTTGACCAACCCTCAGCAACGGACATCTTGGGATTCCCCATGACTAGACTTGGCCCAAAGTTGAAGTGCCCAACTGCGGGCCAAGGGGGGTTGTACCGCCCTCGCAAAAAATTGAGCGAGGAGAACGCTGCTGGATGAGACGTAGGTGATTTCAAGGGCGTGGGTTCAACCAATCAAGAGGTATCCAACAATGGTGAGTAGATGACCACAGGTTATCAATGGATATATAACTATATGGTAGTAAGCTCCATAAGTTGAGATACCCCGAAAATGATCATGGTCAGGTACCCATTTATAACCTCGACTGCACCAAGGTCCCAAGTACAGCCCGTTGTGGTCTTTGGGGCCGAACTGTGCAGATGTGTCAATGTGTCCTATCGGTGATGGAAGATGGATGAATATGGCTATAGATGATGTAGATGGAGTAAAGCCTCAGTAACCATGCAAAATAGAATAGATGGCCAACTGTCTTGAAACTTGGGCAAGGCTCTAGAAAAGAAACCCATGGTTCATTTGTTTTTGTTGGAATATCGGAAATTTTGGGAAGTTTGATTGGCTATAGGAAAAAACTAAAGTCAATGCCCCCCCCGCCACTATTGTGTGAAAGCTGGTGCTCACCTGGGACCCGGCGATCTCAGGTCGAAGGTGCCATGGGAAGGGCAGCGACCATGTTCCGTCTGAGATCTGGTTCTTGTTGAAAGCTTTCAGACGGATGTTGGGGCCATCTGATCCCAGTTGCCTTGTTCCAACATTTCCAGCATTTCTGGCTATTTTGGACTTGGGATGGTGATCATTTGACATGCCAACTGCAGAGATCCAAGGAATGGCAGATTCAATTCGCACCTTGATGAAACAAGGCCATCAGGATCCAGTTGTGGCCATTGTGTTATGCCCTATATATCCCATTATATCCCTATATCTCAGTATATCTCAATCAAATTGAATGCTCATAGAAGATCCTACATGGACTTGACAGCTCAAGTGCCACTGCTGACCGTGAAACTGGCAAACCACTATGAAAGTTTGGCAGTTCACTCTGACCGTAGCCAAGTTGGCTTTTTGATGAACCTTGCATACTTCATGGCCGCAGCTGGGGACAGAAAAAAAACCGAGATGGGTGTGGCGACATGTCGTGACCATACCCCCTTGTGGTATTGTACAATGTGGGCCAAGTTGAGTTTCTGTTGGTTTACAGTTCGGTATGTTCATGGACTCCTGCAGTGCGTTGCCACAACGTTTTACTTTCCCTTTGATCATGACGGTAATCATGGGGAAATGGGGGGGATAAACAGTCTGGTGTTCTCCAAGAACCAAGGAGTCCTGGGTGGTGCAAGGGACATGCTGATCAAGTACGTTGCTTGTTTACCCTGAGTGGTGCGACCACAGCCACTAAAGGTGTCCACATCTCACAGTGTGTCGACACCGGATCAAAGCCAAGCATTCAACCCGCCAAAGCAATGGCAATAAAGGTTGGATGAATGGGATTCCCAACATTAAACTATACCCCCGGGTCCACCATTTTCCATTTCTGCGATTTGGGTGCGGCTATTTGCCAAAACGTATGGATGGATGTTTTATGTTTTTTTTTTTGAAATTGGAAATTATTTTTATATATTTTTATAATAAAATTTATGATAAAAAAAATATTAATTATAAAATTAATATTTATTATATGTTTTATTATAATTTAAATATATATAATAATAATAAATATATTTATTTAAAAAATTAATTTACAAAATTTATAAAAAAAAAATATGTTAAATTAAATTTAATATAATTATAATTTAATTTAATTTATTTATATTAATTATATATTATATTATTTTATAAATATAATAATATATTATTTTAAAAACATATTTTAAAAAAATAATATATGATTTTATTTTTTGCGTGCATTTGGACGGCTATATTATATATATATATTTTTTTTTAATAATAATATAAAATTGAAATTTATTATTTTTAATATAATATAATATATAAATTAATATTAATATATTTTTATATATATTTTTTATTAATAAAATATATTTTAATAATTTAAATTATTATATTGATATTTTGGAATAATATTTTATTTTGAATGTTTTTTTAATGAGATTTATATGTTTTGTTATTGATATATTTTTTGATATTTTATTTGGTATTTATTTTGGTATTTTATTTGATTTTTTTTAAATATATTTATAATATAAATTATATATTTTTTTTTTTGTAAATAAATTATTATATTTTTTTTTGATTTATAGCTTTATTAATTGGTTTGTTTTATTATATTTGAATATTATTTGATGTTATTATTTATAATTTAGGGTTTAAAATAAAGATATTAAATTAAAATATGTTAAAATAAATATGTTGTGAAACCCCGATTGATAAATATAAGGTTTTTTACTTATTTGGTAAATATATATATATTTTTTTATATATATAATTTAATATTTGTTGTAATTTTTTTGGATTTTGTACATTGATATGTCGGGTAATTTTATGCTTTCGATTTCTTTTAATTGTCCCGTAATGAGCTCCCGAATATAACTAAAGGGATGTGGATTTTTGCATGTTCCCTTTGTAAACAGCAAAAAATTTTTCGTTATTATTATACCGGTAATTATAATTTTTAAATTAAGTATCGCTACAAATAATAGTTGTGTGAATTTCACCGTGTTAGCTTAACTCGTCACACCAGACGGCCACGAATTTTAACTGCAAAATACCGATAATGGATTTATATGGATTTATACTAACTACACATATATATATTATCAATGGTTTGATCAATAATATCAATATATAATAAATTTTGTATATTTTGATATGCAAACAACTAATATTTCTGGATTAGAAATGGAAATATTTTATTTTATTTAACATACAAAGATTTCTGCATATTTTGATGTATAAATAGCCATTAATTCTGAAATCGAAGTAGAAATATGAAATATTTTATTTTATCCAACAAAACCACCGAGGCATTATGATTCCCCAAGCAGACCCTAGAACACATGCCTGTAGCATTGCCGCAACTAAGCGACTGCAGAAAACCTGTCACAGAAAAAATATATAAGCAATATATATGTACTACAGATATCAACAATGCCTAGCCTCCAGCAAGGATCAATGACACAACCGAAAAAAATAAATATTATTAGAAAACATTGTCATACAACCGTTGTCATAATAATATTATAATGTACACGCTAAGCAAACTATTACTAATCCATACAAATTATAAAGTATCCACCTCATGCATGCCTGCTGAAACACATGTCAATTAGAAATATTGTTATATAATTGCTCTTATTATTATATAAATATTACAAATTAAAATCTATGTAAATTATTATTAACCAATACAAATTACTAACATAAATATGATATATAATTACTCAAATACATCATCAATTCCACAAGACAACTTGCTTTGACTTGAGCTTGCTTGACCCAGGACCCAACAAAGCGAGCGATCCACTTAAATTCTACTCGACATGATCTTATATTTTATCTGGATTATTTTCTGGCATTCTTTGTCCCTATGTTCTAGGCCTTTGTTTGGCAAATTTTCTTTCTCATATTTTATCCTGCATATTTGTTGGCAAATCTATCTGACATATTTTTTGACATTCGATCTGACATTTTATTTGGCATATCTTCTGATATATCTTCTAATATTCTATCTGATATTCTATCTGACAAATCTTCTGGCATTCTATCTGGCAAATCTTCTGAATTTTATCTGGCATACCTTATCGCATTCTATCTGGTATATCAAAATTCATTCTAGTTGGCATATCTTCTGGCATTTTATCTGGCATATCTTTTGGTAAATATATCAACATTTATTTTAATTGGCATATCTTCGGGCATTCTATCTGGCCGTTGAGGTGCAGCGGCGCCCGCTAAGCTCGGAAGGTCCTAGGTTGAGGTCCAGCGGTGCCCACTGGGCTCGGAAAATTCCTAATTGAGGTCCACGCCCACTGCGCTCAGAACCTTGCAGTTGAGGTCCAGTCTTGCCCACTCAGATCGGAAGCCGGCAGTTGAGGTTCAGCGGTGCCCACTGCGCGCGGAAATTGGCGAAGAAATTGGCGACGAGTTGGCAAGGCCGAAGCCGGCAGTTGAGGTCCAGTAGACCCCACTGCGCGCGGAAGTTGGCGAAGAAATTGGCGAAGAATTGGCAAGGCGGAGGCCGGTAGTTGAGGTCCAGTAATGACCACTGCGCGCGGAAGTTGGCGAAGAGATTGGCGACGAATTGGCAAGGCCGAAGCCAGCACTTCAGGTCCAGCAGTGCCCACTGCGCGCGGAAATTAGCGAAGAGATTGGCGACGAATTGGCAAGGCCGAAGCCAGCACTTCAGGTCCAGCAGTGCCCACTGCGCGCGGAAATTAGCGAAGAGATTGGCGACGAGTTGGCAAGGCCGAAGCCGGCAGTTGAGGTCCAGCAGTGCGCACTGCGCGCAGAAGTTAGCGAAGAGATTGGCAAAGAGTTGGTAAGGCCGAAGCCGGCAGTTGAGGTCCAGCAGTGCCCACTGCGCGCGGAAGTTGGCGAAGAGATTGGCGAAGAGTTGGCAAGGCGGAGGCCGGCAGTTGAGGTCCAGGAATGCCCACTGCGCGCGGAAATTGACGAAGAGATTGGCGAAGAATTGGCAAGGCGGATGTGGATGTGGAAATTGATGCAGATATAATCGAGGAAAAATTGGAGGAGGAGGAAGAAAAGGAAACGGAAGAGGAGGAGGAGGAGGCAGAAAAATAATTGTGATAAAATCTAATAATTATCCCTGACAGATAAGGAAATATTCCTAAAATTCCTCAATCTAAATTAATTAATTCAAATAAATATTTTCGTGTGATTCCCACCATGACATTTATCGATTTGTTACTGGCAAATCTTCTGGTATTCTATTTGACATATCTTCTGGCATTCTATCTGGCATTCGTTCTGGCATATCTTTTGGCATATCTTCTGATATTCTATCTAGCAAATTTTTTGGTATTCTATCTGGCATATCTTCTAGCATTCTATCTGGTATTTTATCTGGCATATCTTCTAGCATTCTATCTGGTATATCTTCTGATATTCTATCTGACATTTTATTTGACATATTTTCTGGCATATTTTCTAGCATTCTATTTAATATTTTATCTGGCATATTTTCTGGCCGTTAAGGTCCAGCGGTGCACACTGAGCTGGGCAGGTCCCGGGTTGAGGTCCAGCGGTGTACACTGAGCTGGGCAGGTCCCAGGTTGAGGTCCAGCGGTACACACTGAACTGGGAAGGTCCCCGGTTGAGGTCCAGCGGTGTATACTGAGCTGGGCAGGTCCCCGGTTGAGATCCAGCGGTGTATATTAAGCTGGGCAGCTCCCAAGTTGAGGTCCAGCGGTGCACACTGAGCTGGGAAGTTGGCAAAGAGCTTGGGGAAGAGTTAGTAAGGCGAAAATATAGGTGGAAATTAATACAAATATAATCGAGGAAAAATTAGAAGAGAAGGCGAAGAGGAGGACGAGGAGGAGGACGAGGAGGAGGACGAAGAGGAGGACGAGGAGGAGGACGAGAAGGAGGACAAAAAGGAGGACGAGGAGGAGGACGAGGAGGACGAGGAGGACGAGGAGGACGAGGAGGACGAGGAGGACGAGGAGGACGAGGAAGAAGACAAAAAGGAGGACGAAGAAGAAGAGGATAACTAGTCGAGGAAGAGGAGGAAGAGCGCTCTAATAAAATCTAATAATCCTTATCTGGCAGGTGGGGAATAATAGTATAATAAAATTATTTTAATAATTTCGTAATTTATAAATATTAAACCCATTTCAAATTATGTTTTTGTTTTTTAAAATTATATATTATTCAAATATATACACCTTTAGAACCTAGAACCTATAAATTTAAAGGGTTTAGGTATAAACCTCGGGTTTGGTCACAACTTCTCTCAAACATCGGGTTTGGTTTCGAAACATCGGGTTTCCATAAAACCCAGGCAAAATCCATCATTTCCAGCCCGGTGTCTGCCAAATGCTTCAGCCCAGGCGCTTGCGATCTTTTCCATCAAGCTGTGACAAGGGGTAGCGGTGAAATTCACCGTTGAACAACATAAACGACTAACCCAAAATTTCCCAATCACATAAATTGCCAGACTAACATTTACCAATGCCTCAAGCAGTGCAAGGGACAATAGAAAACACGATCCAATCGGGAAATTTGAGTCACTGCCATGAGTTCTACAACTTTGATAGCAAGAGATGTGGCTATGGCTCTGCAATTTGAGTTCCCATTGAAAGGTCATTTTTTTTTACGTGCAGTTGATTGCAAACCAACCGGCCATGGCCAGCCCTTGCTATGCCAACGAGTTCCAAGCCAACTGGCCAGCTCAGAGCCCAGTCCTGGAGCGGAGTTGGGATGTGGTCTGCAGTAGCTCTTCAACAAACTTACATTCCAGTAAAACTATAACGTATATCGTTTTATCGGATATACATCTGGAAAATCAGTACAGTCACTGCTACTTCATTTAAGAAAGTTTGTTGCAAGAGAGCTCATTGGAAACATGTTTCCTTACAGAGCCACTTTGGCTCTTAAGCATTCGGCTGTGGGATTGGTGTTTTTCACAATGGCTGCAGCGAAGCCGCCTGGCCGGCCAAAGCTATCCACTAATGAAGTGTTGGACCTTACCAATCTACATTTAGATTGGGACAACAACCCTGAAATTCGTGAACGGCTTTTGGATGCCCAAGATTTACTCGTCGATGATGGTTGTGATGACATCCCAACAGCCAAAAACAACACACCGGTGCTGCATCCCTTGCTTACCAGGATGAGTTTGACAGAGCACAGGACACTCCCAGGAGTGGAGTCTTTGAGGGATGAGATCGAGGCTGTGTACATGAGGAACAAGCGGGGAAAGACCCAGGAGGACATGCCGAACATTGCTCGGGATGGTTGGAGGATCCGAAAACTACTTGGGTTTGTTAAGATGAAGGTGAGGCGTGAGGAGGTGTCTGAAGTGCCTTTGACCTGTTTTTCAACATTGTTGTTTGTGCTGCGATGTTTTTCTTGCTTATTCTAAAGTATTGAGATGCCCGAGGTTTATACCCAAACCCTTTAAATTTATAGGTTCTGGGTTGTAAACGTATATATATATATATATAGTACAATGGTGATTATAGGATATATTTATATTTAAATATATCAATTATAGCTTCATGGGATTCTGTAAAATGAAATGTATGTGAGCGTGCGCTTCCAAGGACCCTGACTTCCAACAGCTTTGCCTGGCTTTGGACCCCAATCTCCAGGTGGGATTTTCGAATGTCACAAGGGGCTGTGCGATGATGGGAGCTATTGGAGCCATCAATGCTTAGAACACTTGAAACCAATGTTTGTTCACTTGTGGGGATACCTCGTATGATGTCTCAGAGTTCAACGATTCCAAGAAAGTGGCTATCCGCTGTTTCGCTGAGAGGAAGTTGTCGACGCAGTCAACAGAAAGATCGAAGAGCGAAGTGCTAAGCGTAAGGCTTTGCGGGCTCAGCAGGAGACCCTCAATAGTTTCACTATCGTTATACCTGTGTTGGCTTTCAATAAAAATACGCTGACTAAGAACATGCGGCCAGGTTGAAACGATTGTTTTGACAAATTGTTACAACATTTACTTTCAAAGTAAAGTTTCATCATTTTTTCACTTTTTGGATGTTTACGAAACTTAATCCTATATACCAAAATATTCCAGTGACACAAAATCAATCGTTAAAAGGATCATCAAACCATTTCGTTTTTACAGGAGGAAAGCTCGTCAAGCTCGACAAGCTCTGAAAGTGCAGATGCACCGCAGCCACCGGATACTCACGAGGCCGCCGCAGAGGTGCCTTCTGCATCTGGCGTGGTGGTACCCTTAGCCAGTGACCCAAAGAAAGAGGAGACTAAGGAGGTAGCTGTTGAGAAGAAAGTTCAAAAAGGATCAGTAGAGAAGCCAAGTCAGCCACAGGTTCATGAAGATGTGATTACACCACACAGGGATGCAGCGCCATCGGGCAAACCGAAGACCCCAGTTGTTTCGGAAGCCACACCGTCTCCCAAGAGTTCTGGGTCTGGTATCTTTGATTGAAAGTGGTTTTCATTTACTTTTCAACGGGTATATATACAAATTTGAATAATTATAATGTTTCTGTGATGTTTCTATTTGAGATGTGTGTTTCTACATATACAGCAATGTAAATCGAAATTGCCCCTGTGTACTGCCAAGGTACTGACTTGCAAGAGTTGCAGAAGAAGAGAGAAGAGATCCAAGCAAAGTTGGCCGCGTTGTCTAGGTTTTTTGGCATGCGCATATAATTTCATATAATTTCCAATTCATGGCATTTACATATCGAAACCTTGTTCCTACTCCTTAGATTCTCGGGTATCAAGCGGCAAAATCATATGAGTGCCTGGTCTACTTTTCCTCACGTTTGCATGCAATGTATTGCACAACGGCATTTGAGGCTGCGCTCCTCTGCAAACCTTGGTGCCAACCCACCCAAGGACAAACCTTTGCCAGGAGTGACATATGTTCAACTATGTTCAACTTATATTTCAAACTCACGCTGTGTGCTGAGGACTTTGGTTTGGGTGATCTCAAATAATTGTTTGGCGCACGTGTTTCCTAAAGTCTGACAAAGGTAAAATTAAAGCTCAGGTATGGATATGATATCATAGATACAATGGCATGTGCATGCATATAAGGTGCAAGATGGCCAAAGCTTAAGTATCAAACACCGAAATCACGATTACAACCGCTTCTGTCGCAGGAGTGGGGGCCAATGGAGGCCGAATTTCACCCGACCAAGTTGAGACACAGGTCCAGGACGTGACTGAGCTACCAACCCCTGAGGAGCCCAAAGGTTCTTCCGTTTCTCCAAACCGTTCAGCAGATGACAAGCGAGCAACATACCACAACAAAGGGTATGTGGTTCATGCTACAACAACAACAACAAATGACCCAGCAGAAAAGGCTTTGCAATCTGAGGCTGTTCCCCTCCAGGAACTCAGTGAGAAGACCAAAGAGCCAGAGACCCATGCAGAGGAAAGCACAAAGAAGATCGAGAAGACCAAACCTCAAGAGGAACCCGAGAAGAAGACCGAGGAGACTGAACCCACTAAAGAATCTAAAAAAGAATCGGAAAGCAAGAAGCCAACAACCAATCCCAAACCCCACTCCCAAAAGACACCTGCGCAAGTTCATCCACGCCATCAGTACTTTACAGACTCCGAGGATGAGGCCAGGGACAGTTGTTGAAATTATATCTATATAAAATCACACTGCATTGTTATATATATATACACATGGTATATTGCCAAGGACACGCATACATGCGTTGCACTGGGAAGTTTTTGTCAAGCTTACATTAATATGATCGACTGTTTGGGGGGGTCACCTACATACAGTAGAGACGTCCAAGCAAAAAAAACATTGTGTCTTTTTGTTGGCTTCAGGAACCGCCCAAAGCTCTCACAACAAGGGTGGACCAGTTGAAGATGAAGCAAAAGAAACAGGACTCGGGTGACGGTGAAGAGAAACCATCGTCGACCAGAGGCCGAGGTCGTGGCCCGGGGGGTCGCGGCGGGAAAGGAAGGGGAAGAGGCAGAGGTAAGAAAAATGAGGGAGTCGACGCAAGCCAACCTGTAAAGGCAAGAGCAAGTGGCAGCAAGACAGATACCCACATAGATGAAGACAATAAGGCAGTTGACAAAAAGCCAAAGACTAGGAATGGCAAAGCAAAGCAAGATGAAGGTTGGGCGGCATGGGGGACCGATGATGCTTGGGCACAGGGATGGGGAGACGATGGGTGGGACTACAATGCTTGGGCATGGGATAGCGCGGCCTACTGGGATGCACAAGCCAGCAAGCATGAGTTGGGCGATCCAAGTGCACAAGAGCAAGCAAGCAAAAGCAAAGCAACCAAGTCACCCAAGACACTTCCAAATACAAACGATGAGAAAAATGAACACAAGGAACCAAAGGCAGAGGAAAAATCCAAAAGCAAGAAACGTGCTACAAAGGAGGTTGAGGCAAAGAAGGAGTCCGAGAGTAGAAAGCAAGCACGCACGAGCAAATTCAAAGGTGGTGATGCAGCTGATGACAACAAGCCTAGAAAAAAACGGTTCAGGGCAGCAGCACCGGCTGAAGATGGGTCAGCATCAACGGCACATGAGACAAGAAAGAGCAAGGCAGCAGCAGCCCCAGCAGAGCCCACAGGAGAAACCAGCACCAACACGGTGTGGTCTGATGTGCTTCCTCACTCAGAGGAAAAAAGGTTGGAAGAGATCGTTTCTTTCATAGATGGGTTCAAGGGCATGAAGGAAGACCATGCATATGTGTTGATGAGGGGTCGACTGCAAGGAACCAAAGCATGTCGGTTGAATGTCTATGGTAAGAGAGCCACTCCTGCTGTTGGACTCCATTGTCGTAAAGAAAACAAAGACTTTGGTCATTTCCATCAGCAACTCCGAATGCCCCAAGCACATCCAGCTCGCAGCGGCAAGCAAAGCTGCAGAGATGTTGGTAACTTGTATGTGCACAGTTGTGGTATTGTTTCACGTGCGCTTCAATTCGTGAGAGTTGAAAATTGTAGATATTTAAAAATGTCAATTCTATACTTTGAATTTTGAACATGTTAATTACCATTGTCAATACATTTTGAAAGTAGGTTCAAAGCAAGAGTTTTGAAGGACAAGTCCCAGAACTCAGCTTTTCGATCCACCGCTGCTTTGAGGCACGATTTGTGGATGAAGTCAACACTCGCGAGGAGACATCACCCGATGAGAGTATCACAGAGAACCATGTCGTGCTTGAGATGCATGAGGAACTCAAGACCTTGGCTTTGAATGCTGTAGATGCTTTTTTGACTAAGTGAAATTAAGTGAAATTCCCATTGTGTGCCTTCGTGCAAAATCTGGGAGGCATGTGCCACATAGGTATAAACCGTATAGATGCCTACACCTTAGAGCGTCCAACCGTGTGTTGGGGAGCAAGGTGACCAACAAACATCTTGCAACTGCGGGGTCACACACGGACTTTTGGTGTGTGCACACGTGCGGTGTACAGGTGGCACTTCCCAACTCTGAGAGAAAGTATGTACCAGTTTAAATTAGTGGAAATGTTTTTTCGCCACCAAGCGGGTCGTATTACATCGATCAGTGATTGTGAGTTGTTTTCAAAATGTTTTTCTTGTCGGGGCACTGGGAAGCCTTTTGTCCGATGGATATTTTGCTGCCGCTATCTCAACCTAGCCCTCTTCGAAATGCTGGGTGCTGGAAGTTGACAACCTGATCTCATCAAATCCTCTGAAATTTAGAACTAAATCTTCATGGTGAGTGTTTATGACATGTTCTTCAAGCATTAGAGGTTCATGACTTCAAAATCAACTGGAAATTACTGGCACCAGCTCGATGTAAACAGTTCCAGGCTAGCGCTTGGCTCTAGCACTTTCGATGGCCACTGTGCAACGGACGACTCATGACACGAGAAAAATACAGTGAGTGGGGCGGGGTTGGTCAAATAATTCAATCATCACATCACCCCTGGAATCGATATAACAAAATGTTTAATGCATAACAATTATAGCTTATATTTTTACCTGTCAGGCCCTGTGTCAACCTCGTCATATCTCCCATCATCCATTTTGATCACCCCTCTTCGATCCAAGCCGGTCCTTGAGGTTGAGCCAATGGCGAAATCTCAAGAAGCAGAAAGGCCTGTGGCAGGTTCGTGTCGAGGCCCTGAAGAAAAAACGTACCCCCAGACATGTTTTTGCATTGAAGGTCATTTTCGAGTAGATTCCAATAAAATCAGTATGTAGAACCCATGCATGTGACTGAATTCGGAACATGGTGCAGCCGTTCCAATGGGCTCAACTGATGACTGCTGGGTGACATATATGGTATATATTATTTATATTGCATGCATGTAGATGTAATTCATACATGTTATATACTGCCATGTACTGGTGAACCTCAATGTGATTCACAACGGGTTCAGACATGGGACCATTGGGATTATGATTTCATATTCCATCCGTGATATCGGCTTTCCACCCTGTGAAGCCATGTGGAATCTGGATACTTTTCTATGGCGGCTTCACCGCATAAGGGTACCAAAGGAGCTGCATGGATTTGAATTGAAAATGTATTTTTGGAAACTCACACTTCATTTTGGGTCTGAGCTTTACGAAACTTTGCCGCTGAAGGAGTACGTCTTGATCATTCTCTTGATCCTGTGGACTTACCCGATCACCCAGGAGAGAACATGAAACAACCAAGATGATCATCGGTCGATTGATGTGTAAAAAAATGTGAATCTCAAGTAAAAGAACAATAGCAGTTTTGACCTTACATTTCAAAGACCTGTGATCTGGGTTCTAAGAAATTGATATCTTTACATCGTCGGAGCCCCGGTCAGGACTATGGATGGCTGGAGTACTTCGCGGGTGTTGGGAACCTGACTTGTATGATGTCATCAGTGGGAATTAAGTCAGGTCGCTTTGACATACTTGACAATATAGCACCAAAGCATCGTCGTTCCAACTTCATGGACCTGACCCATGCCTCAGGGTTTGTGTTCCTTATCTTAATTCCTTTAGATCTGAAATTATTTGATTTTTGAAACAATGATCACCCAAATCAGTTTATAAGTGTTCCAATTCCATCACTTTGAGGGTATCTAAGGCTAGCAACTCTATATATGCTTCGTGGCATCCCTGGCGAGTTCGCGAGCCACTTCGGGTTGAAATGTTCATCGTTTTGCAAGATGAACATAGGAACAAGCCGGAGATCACCTTGTACATCCCTGGGTTTCGAAGATTACATTTCGGTTTTCACAGGAAATATGCTTCTGGAGAGGATGGGGGTTTAGTGTTGGGATGTGTAGGTGAAATGCTTCATATATGGTTGACATTGGTTGACAACATTATAGAAACAATTCCAAAACTGTCTTCCGCAGCAGGAGCGGCCTGCTGATCCTTCTGTGCACATGCCTGGATGGCTTGTGGACTTTTGAGCAGCCCTCTGGATCGTTGGCCGAATACTACCCAGCGTTCAGGTATGTTCTGAACCAAGTTTTTGATTGCGGAGGACCTACAGCTGTCAGGGCCCCATTATACGTTGTATGATGGTGATAGGTGAACACCCATTATCGTTTATAATTATAAATATCATTGTGTTTCATATCCAAAAAATATGTGGAAAATTTGCATTGGGAAGTTACCCCTACTATTCAACATGTTGCATCCAATACCTAGGTCCAGTGCGTTAAATGGTGGATGGGTCACTACAAGGCTGACACGCCAAAGAGGCACTATGCATATGGAAATTCCAAGGCCATCAAAAAGATTGACAAAGGCAAGCTGGCTGGGTGGAAACCCAAGGCTTCCAAAGTGGTCACGGCACAACATTATGTTGATAAGTCCGGGAAAAAACGATACAAGGGAACAAAACAATTGAGGAGCACTGAGACTCTCAACTTGTATATTCGAAGGTTCATGTGCCACTGCGTGTGTCATTTTAGGAAGCCTTGGTTTAAAGACAACTTAGCAGGTGTAATGCTTGTCAGTGTAACCAGAAACAAGTATGGAAACCCACTGGATCGAAAACAGCACTCACAAGACGAAATCATATTCGTTGTCATCAAATTTATCGAAGGCTGCCACTCCTGCCCCACTCAGGATTTACCCGATGCCTTTCGCTCGCTAATATGCAGATCTCCTGGAGGACATGAAGCGCACTCGCCCAAAGTTTCCTGAGGCACCACAAGATGTCCCACCAGCTGTAGTCACGTTTCAACAGCTTGATTGTGCAGATCCATCCATTTGGCGACATGCACACTTGGCTGAGACTTTCAATTACATTAGGAAAAGCAGGAGATTGAGAATCCCTGCGGAATGGCAGCACTTAATTCCTGACAAATTGGATTCAGTGATCTGAGGCCTAGAAATCCAGGTGGTCACCCAAAAGCTATGGTAAACCGTACAAACATTTCGCAATCTTCACAACATTAGTTGATTTTTTTGAAAAAAGAAAGGGTTTGGATTTAACCCGTACGTAACCCGTACGAAACCCATACTTTACCCGTACAAACCCATACATTTGGCTGGTATACCTCGGGTTTCAGGTAAAACCCCGGGTTTGCCTTACCCGTACGTAACCCATAAATTACCCGTACAAACCCATACTTTTTTTTATGGGTTTCCACCATTTTCATAGAGGCCTTTTTTGGCAGTTTCTTGCAGTGCCAACATAAATTCGATGGCGCAGATGGCATTCCTTCTGCGTCCCAATTCGAATCTTATCCGTTCGCGAAGCTTAGCGAACAAGCATCTGATCGAATTTCTTTCAAGGGTCGATACCAAAAAAAACATGTTGCAAGTCAGTCATTTTGAATCGTAATGGTAGTGTTGGATGTTGAACTTTGAACACTGATATTGGCACAATGGCTCTTGTCGCATCGCTTTAAGAAAAAATTGTGCCACTGTCCATTGGCTTAAGGTGTTTTGGGTGGAACGAAACCTGACTGAGCAGTTGGGGTGAACATGGAGGGCTCAGCCATGTCACTTGGCACCAGTTGTGCCACCCTTCAAGATGGGGTGCAATTCATGGACTGTGCTGCTGAAGAGGCAGCATTGTTACGCGAGTTGCAGGACTGTCTTCGCCCCAGCTAATCCCCATGATACTCTATATAGGATGGTGACATTCGATTTGTTTCTGTGTTCCCAGCTGGATTCCAGACATTTGCGCTAACAAAATTTCAGTTACAATTCAAAACAACCTGTTTGGGCCGCAGGAAATTGACGGCCAAATGCAAGTCTTGGAGTTACACTGTTCCCAGTCTGAAGCGACTACCCCGGTCAGAATCTCAGGTGCTACATGCCACCCCTTAATAAGCCAATCACACCCATATCACCTTAAGGCCGAGAGTCCAGACGTCGTGATTGCAGAAGCAGAGACACTGCCAGCGCAGTCCTTGGATGAATGGGTGGAATCAATGCACATGTGAAACATACAGCTTATATGTTAAATCATGCATCTATAGGTGCACATTTGCTAATTTCGAACTATATAAAAAAAAATGTGATGTTTATTGCGTTTGTTGCCTGCATGGCTATATATATACTGTTAGTTATATGGAGTGGTTTTTTCCCCATATGATTCTGAAGCTACATACATTTACCCTTTGGGTGCAATCTGCCAACTAGCCCAGTCTTGTTCTAAGGCCTCGGATGCCGAGCTCCAAGGCATGAAAGCCGAGGCGTTTTGGTAGTGTTTGGAGCGCATCAGGTTTATGGAGAAACTTATCAAATTTGAAAAGGGTATGGTATGATGCCATCTATATATTTGTAATTTGAATTGGTGTTCAAATTCACTTTTCAACATACAAGATCTAGTTGGCTCAGGCTGCTACATGCCAGCAAGAACTTACTCCAGTGGCGCCAGTGGCCACGCCGGTTCGAAATACTTCAGCCCCTGCTAGCGTGGAAGCAACTCCTGGTGATGGGAATTCCAATGATGATGGTTCAAAAGATCCTGCTACTTTGATGCCTGCTCCAACAGAGCCTGAGAAACCAAGTGTACTTCCCGGGGAAAAGGAACCTGCTGTCCCAGTTCAAGAGCTGGGTGTGTCACAGCGGAAGGCCATCTTACGCAGTATGTTTTGTGCATCACTGATAGATTTACTGGTAAAATTTGTACGCCACTTTTTTTTGCATCGATCTGTATGCCAATTGTTTGCATATATATGGAGTTTAGATGTCGGCTCCAACCCCACCAGCTCCGACAGGCTCGACTTAGGGCTGCCGCCCGTGCACAGTTGATGCGGTGGTTGAAACCGAAAACAAAACGATCCCACAGAGAGGCCCCAGAAGTTGTCAAGACCCAATGGAACACGGGTAACAAGAACGACATAGCGGACATGCTTGCCAAGTGCAACTTTGATAAGGACCTGTCACAGACATGATGAACCTCTTGACTCTTGACACTTTGCATGTATAATTCAATCCGGCCGTCTTGTAGTGTTAAGTTTCAAGTTTATTTCTTATGTCTTCATGCATGTGGCCAGGACAAATTTGTCAATGAACTGACAGTGGTGGTGTCTCGCAAACAGAAGGTAAAGATGTTGATCAACGAAGGCTGGCACACAGAAGAAGAAATGCGAACCGAGCTTCACTGGAATAAGTTACTTGCTTTTATTAATATCGAGCTAGAACATATGACATATATAATATATATACTCATGTCAATTTCGTTGGCACAACACTCCCACGTCCAATCTCAGCAATCCCACTCCAAGGGCCCGTATAGATGGTGCCAAGTCTCGCTGCCAGTCCTTGGGACCCTCGCACTACAGGCCTTGTGTCTTTTCACCTCAGTTCAGGATGATATTTGACTCTGAAGTTGTTGTGGGATCCCGGGGCTGCAGTCAATGAACACCCATATGCTGTTCGATATATATATATAAGTATATATATTTGCAAATAATTTCATTTAATCCCTATGAAGCTGACCATCGCCCAAAGTTTCTCAACTGCCTTGTGCGCAGGCACAATCAGTATGACGGAATTGAAGAATTTTGGATCATCGTCAAGGAGTCAGGAGAGCGCTCTGAAACTCATTCGTTCGAGGAACGCCATCAAAAGACGTCCCAGGCTTGATTTTAAACCAATCAAACATAGTGGTGTACTCTTCGGACCTTTTTATAGTTCTTGTTGAAATCAGGTGTGTATACATCAGAAAAATGCTATATTAATTTATAACCTATGGTCTAATCATATCACTTTGGGGCAATTTTTGGTGTTCATGCTTTTATGCATCTTCCCTGAGGCAGATTCAGACCCAACCTTTGAGCTTGGTGGAACTAAGTTCTCAGGGGTCAAAGCTTTGGTCGACCGCAAGAATGATGCCGACAAACTCGGTAGCCAAGCCACTGCCGAGTCCAAGTATGGACAGGTTCAGCACAGTTGCATGTTCAATCGTTGGACTGCTTTGCCTTTATCACTTATGTTTTAAGCAGGTTCCATTCCAGTGTTTTGACACATCCCGCATCCAAATTTGCAAATGCCATCGCATTCCTAGGGTTCCAACTCCCTCCCCTGCTAGACCAGAGATCGGTTCAAGAAGTTCAAGGACAGCTTGATGCAGAAAAGCGGGAAACTTCGTCAACTTGTGAAAGAGTTGAACACCAAATATGATGATGAACAGGCCCGTAAGTGTTTCCCTTAGAGCCATCAACTCATGTTGCAGTTGAGTTGCAAACCAAGATATATACGCAATGTGATAAAGCTCAACCGTCAGCCCCATGGGTCCGTATCTAGCTCATCTCCAAATGGATTTGCCTAGGTCAGTTGAGATGATCACGAAGGAGATTGGTCACATGGACCAGGAGTTCGACAAATGCCAGGAGGTGTGGTCGAAAGGAGAAGCCAACGGCTTCTTCACTGAGGAGTTACTTGCTCGTATATAGCTGCTTGGTGGGCCTGTCATAGATGCTTGGATATAGACCAATCAAGCATATAGATTATACCGACCTCTAATAATGTTGTTCCTTTTGATATTTGAGGTTTCATGATATGTTTTACAATTCTAAACCATTCATGGGAGAAATCAGGTTTTACAAAAATGCAGAAGAAGCAATGAAGACAGCGACCTTGGCGTGGGGTGCCCCAGGCTTACACCATTCCAGGTTCGCCTTCTGATCACCCATAGAATACAAAATAATTTGTTTCAACTGTATCAAGCATATAAACTGGAGCTTATACACGGGTTTCACTACCCCCAATTTTATCAACCAAACCCTGTATGATTTCCAAACCTCTCATGTTACAAGTTTCGCTCAGGTGTTCCAGGGCAGCCGCAGCAGAATTGAAGACCAGGAGCGATTCAATTCAGTGTGGACAAGTGTCATAGACACTGACATGTGACCATGCTTGCATATACACATTCAATTTGATGCACGAATGTGAGACATTTTACCCCACCATCAACTTGATGAGTGTTTTTTGGAATGCCCAACAACCGTCTACCACCTGCAATGTAGCCACGCCGCAGGAGTCACAAGAAGTACTTCGAGAAGATGGGGCAGCCTGAGCCCAATCGTAGGACGGGCGGGGATTCAAAGGAACCCAAAGATGCAAAGAACAAAAAGGACAAGAAGGAGAAAAAGGAGAAGGAGAAGGAACCCAAAGGTTCAAAACGAACCGCCGAGGCATGTGAAGCTGATACAAACGGACACAAACGTCCTCGCAAGAGCAAGAAAACTCAGTAGGTGCCAAAATGGCAACAGTTCCCAGAGGCTCCAAGCCGTTTCACGAGAAGTCAGCTTACTTTAAGCTACAAGGCCACGTGTTGCCCTGATACTTTTTAAATCGTGAAACTCTACGGTTCATATATTTCATATGTGAATTATTTTAAACTTTAAATTTTAAACCCATACGTGCAGCATGTTGCAACCCAAGAAACTTCTATGTCGCTCAAGAGGCATTGAACACGGTAGATGCCTTGTCAATCTGCGGGGTAGATTTGCTGGTTGCACCAGTCGCTACAATCAATTCTTTGCTGGATGCAACAAGGATGCAAAGATTGAAAAGTGACCAGTCGCTGCGTAATACTTGTGGCTTTACATTGATCAATCGACCTCAATCCCAACACATGCAGCATATGATGTTCAGAAAAGAACATCCTTATACGCAAGAAAGAACAGTGATTCCTTGAACCCTTCTACCCATTAGGGGGCGCAATATTTTTTCCCCCAATGACTGTGAACGCATTGCCAGGTCCTAAGCCAAGCAACACAGTGCGAGGATTTGCCGAGAGGATAGGCAATGGTGTTCGGAGCTCAAACCCTAAAGGGTGACGTGGCACATGTCTTGAAAGCTCTTTCCGTTGACCCTATACTGAAATACCTGAGACGCCTTCCACTTACTTTGGTTCAAGCTTCGCAATCGATCATTCGAAAATGTAGCGATATGAAATATGTTTCGGGTTCCATTTTTAATCTTATAGATGAGCGATGAGAATCCCTATGATGAGCTCTGGGAACTCCTGACGTGTCATCGTTCGGACACTTGGCTTCCACTTGCTTTTGAGCTATCACCCCTTTTCACTGTAATAAAATGACATGTTATAGTATAAACGATATTACATCCGTTCTATTTTAAAATGACCGCACTTTGTCTACAATGGATTCATATGAACACCCGTATCCCACCTCGATTTGATTTGATTTCATTTCATTCATTTCACTTGAAGTTCCCCATGTCGTTTCTCAGGACAGCCTGAGACCATATCCATGGCCAAGGAGCACAAGCCAATGCAGCTCTCAACCTGAACATGAGGTTGATGACGACAGCAAGAGTGACCAGGTCATGACTGCTGTGGACATGTCAGACTCTACAAGGGCATCGGGATTGCTGGGTACATCACTGTCATCAACCAACTCAGGAGATTCCGCTGTCGTCACAGGTTGTGATTATCTTGAGTATCAGATTCCCCCAATTGGTGTTCCAGCAGGAAAAGTATTACAACATGCGAAGCGTGTGGTCACAGCCCTGTTTGCAAAACACGCACCTTTGATATTCAAATTCGGGTACACTCACAACCCTCGGTGGCGTTGGGAGAATAAGCTCTATGGGTACAAGTTGGACAAAGCCCACAAGTGGTCAAAGTTGTTGGTACTCTACGAATGTACAGAAGTTTCTGGCCCGGCAATGCTGGAAGCAATGCTGATTGAACTCTATGGCGGCACTTTGATTGAATTGAAGAAAGTCGTTTGTGATATTATATGCATGTATGCTATATATATGTTATGCATTTTCTTTCTTTTGTATGTGTTTTTTCTTCACTACTCAGCTTCCCCTTGATCAGCCCATCACTTTCCTCAGGTAGGCCTGGATGCAAAAACATCCGGGCTGGCGGCGACAGTGTGATGGTGCCATCGCAGCTGCAATCCTCAGATCAGCACAGGTGCAGCACCTATATTGTATATAGGTCTTTCAAGTACCCACCAGCGCCCGAGACAACACGGGTTAGATCATGTGCAAAGTGATTGAATCTTGGGCTCTAAAGTCAAGAAAATTAGTAGTGTGCTTTTCACACTTGCAGTTGAAACTGGCTCAAACAGTGAAAAATGCGCGCGCATGCATGATTCTTCGGTCGTGCCTCCTGACAATCAAAGTCCGTATGCATATGTTAAAGCGTGAAATACGACACATTATGAGTCAACTCCATTTCCTACAAGTGAAACCCTTGGAATAATAACTATCATATAACCATACTTCGCCTGACATGTTGCCCACCTAGGCCTCATGCACCTCTGCTATCGCTGCGGCCCGTGACTTTGTATCTGATATTGGCCAACGGGCCGCTGAGAAATGTGGAGGTCTATTGGATGTTGCACATTGTGGTATATCAAATCCAGAAAGGGATTCCCAAAGAGTCCTGGTCAAGCGATTTCAATTATCTTTGGACATAGAGAAATCCCACCTGGAAAATGAGCCTGGTATTCCAATCTTACGAATGCAATCTTGGTTTGACTTCTTCCTCAAGAACTCATGTTTACACATCTTACATGGACTGCGCCAGAGACATGATGTTCGGGAAAAGGCTATCATGGCCGCCTTTTGGCGGAATTTCCGCGAAGTTTGTCCTAACCATGAAATTTTTCAACGCGAAACAGATGGACTTCTTTGTTTAGAACGGTGCATACCTTTACAGATCCATGGAGACGAAGGTCGTGGGCGGCGTCACACTGCTCACTTTGTATTGAGCATGCACAGTCCGCTGGGGTTTGGATTTGGAAAGCAAACAGGCAAAAAGAGGACCTGGACAAAGATGGAATGTAATTTTTCAGGCCATACCTTCACAAACAGATTCCTGTTGGCAACGCTTAGAAAAAAAGATTATTCTGATCAAAACAGCAGCAAATGGGATTGCTTCATGACTGAGGTTGCACGGGATGCCCGTTTCATGTGGGAAACGGGGGTGGCAAGCCCTGATGGTGTTCGTTATTGGGGCGTTGTGATTGGAATCATCGGAGACTGGCCATTTTTGCACAAAAGCGGTGTGTTCACACGTTCATTCAACAGCATTCAAAAAAAACTGAATGTGAAAAAAGCTCCAAGTGGCATATGTCACCTGTGCCGGGCAACTCAATCAGGCATTGAGTTCGAGCAGTTGGCGACCCGCAGGCCAGATTGGCTTGCTACTGAGTTCACGGAATCCGCATTTGCAACCCCAAACCCGTTTGCGTATCATTTGTTACAAGAGCCAGGGAAGGCTGAGGCCCTGTGGTGCTTTGACTGGTTTCACACCATGCATCTTGGAGTATGCAAACAATACCTTGGAAGTGTACTGGCACTTTTCAGTGAACAAGAACCTGAAGGAACAATAGACGAACGTTTCGCTGCATTGAGTGTCAAATTCAGAAATTGGTGCCATCAACATTCTCGAAGAGGATATGTCTCCAAGATTTCAAAGGAAATGATCGGTTGGGACAAAACATCTCTCTTTCCCTGCGGGACTTGGCACAAAGGTGATCTTAGCACTGTTTTGATGGAATTCTGTGAACATCGGTTTCAACATGAAACTTTCCACGATGAGCCGTTGCTTCAATTGGCAGCTGAAGCATGTGAAGCAATTCAAGCATGCAGCAGGTTTCTTTACCGCTCTAGTTTGTGGCTTCAGCCGGAACAATGTCGAGTTACGGGTGAACTTGCCTTCAAGTTTTTGAGGCGCTACTCCGAGATGGCGAGCAGGGCAAAATGTACAGGGAGGAACCTGTTCGTCCTACAACCAAAAATACATTGTTTACACCATTTTGCTGTCAGTTTGTTCTCAGCTTACAAACGCAATGTCGTTGAAATGAACCCGCTGGGAAAATCGTGCCAACCTTCAGAAGACTTTATAGGACGTCCTGCCAGACTGGCGCGGCGCGTGACTGCTCAACGTCCAGTGCTGCATCGTATCATGGATAGATATTTGATGAACTCATATGCTTTGTTTGCGCGGCAGCGGTACTTGATCCGTTCAGTGAGGTGAAAACTTCGCCATCTAGCACATAATTTGACATGTCAAGAATATATATATATATATACGACTATTTTTTCTAACATATTCAAACCCATGTCGGGATGTAATGGTTTCAAGCCTTTAAAGAGCATTGTCCACCAAATTTAGACAACCTGACATGCTGACGGATTGCTGCCAAGTCTCCGTTTTGCGTGATGGGGCACGCACCGCGAGAAGAAAATGGCCGCATCAACTTTTGGCAGGTCACAAATAGGGAGGCCATGGACAAACATCGGGTTTGCTTTTGAAACCTCGGGTTTCCAAGTAGATCCTTTATTTTTAAAGGTTATGGTTGGTGAAGGTATATATTATTTATTTTTTAAATTTATTTAAATTATACCCATATGCCAAACTCCTTGCAATGTTGGCGTTTGACAGCTATTCCCAATCAAAACGCTCGCCACGACCCCTGTCCCGGCACAGACCTTACAAAACCCCTTTCCCCATTGGAAACGCTAGCTTAAACAAACCTCGACCAAATTATCATGGTTCTATTCGTTTTTGATCGAATCCCATCGGAACGCCGGTTTCCAACGGGCCTTTTTTCGTGGGCATTGTTGACGCCCACAAACAAAAACGCGAAGCAGGCCCTTTTCCTAGTTTGTATACTGCAGGATGGGTTCTGATAAAGGAAAAAAATGAGGTCCAAAACGAGGTATGGAAAAAGCCCGCATTTACATACATGGACTTTGGCCCGCAAGCCGCAAACCTGCCCTTCCTTGGATTATTGGTAGCGAAACAATGACAATTTGCAGAAGCCCAGCACACCGCCATAACCGGAAACAGCAACAACAACAGTCGTCGAACCAGCAGCCGCAGCAACAACAAAACCCCAATAGCTGCAGAACCCAACAACAACCATCCCAAACATAATGAGAACGCAATTAGCAAGATTAAGGTACTATGCTAATAGTAAAACAACGCCCTACCCCAAACACAACCTAAACACCGCTTCGCCACTTTAGCTCTACATAAGATAATAAAACAGCAACCTACCCTAAATACAAGCTAAACACCACATCGCCACGACTTCCACAAAAGCCTTCCCCCAAATTAATTTCAAGATTTTTGGAATTTCGCCACGATTTGGCCAATTAAGAATGTATAAATAAATTAAATTATTATTTTATATAATATTTAATATATTATTAAATAATATAAAAAATAATTTTTAGTTTTAATTAAAAATAATATTTATAATTTTTCATTTTTAATTAAATATTAATATATATATTATGTATATATATATATATATCTATATAATTAATTAATATATAAATTTCGATTTAAATATTATTATTTATCTTCAATTTTATTATTTTAATTTAATTATTTTTAATATTATTATTTTATTATATTTTTTTTATAATTTTATTATGTTTATTATTTTTATTATTATTAATTTTTCATAATAATAATATTATTATTCTTTTTATTTTCTTCTTCAATATTATTTTCTATATCATAATCCTTCTCCTTCTCAATATTATTCTCCATCTTATTATTTTCCATTTCATCCTCCGCATTATCCTCATCCTCATCCTCAATATCATTATCCTGCACCTCATCACCCTCAATATCATCATCTTTAACATCATCGTCCGCAACATTATCATCCTCATTATCATCATCACAATCATCATCAAGATTATCATATATTATCCTCCCACTCCCCCGCACTGTTTTGGGTATCTTGCCGGGATAGTTTGTTCTTTTTAGTTATAAGATTATAAAATATAATTTTCCTGTTCGCTAAATTCAAAATTGGGTAGTTATACGCCTCAACCATCTATATTTTTCCCATATAGTGAGGCACAACAATATTCCAAAATAGAAAATTCAGATTTAAAGGACCCCCAAAATAGGGATTAGTTTTTCGATTCCATCGAAAGATTTTGCTTCAATAATCCCGGTACCAAAACATATCCCCAAAAATAATTAGTTTCCACTTGTTCAGGTTTTTATTATGCAAACAGTTGATCAGAATTATCCTTTCCTCCTCTTCCCTGGCATTCTATCTGGCAAATCTTCTGACATTCTTTCTGGTATATGTACCTAGTATATCTTCTGATATTCTTTCTGGCATTCTGTCTGGTATATCTTCGGAGATTCTTTGTGGTAGAGGTCCGGCATGGAATACCCTGATCCGGAGCTCCCGGCCTAGGATTAGAAGGAAGGAAAGAAATAAATAAGAAAATAATAGACATATATAAATTAATAAATAATCAATCTTAAATATATCCGAAAATCATTACCTAGCAGATAAAGAATAATATACAATACATGTACCAAATTATTAAATCGCAAAAAAAAATGAATCGCATTAATTTTCGAAGGGAACGAATTCAACAAATCTACGAATACGGTTTTCAAAAATATGAAAAACAATCTCGAGGAAAAAAAAATAGTTAATATTTAGTCCAAGAAAGAAATTGATATAATTAAATTAATTAAATTATTAGAATGCATTTTTCTAAGCATAATTTGGGAATTTCGATTTGATTATCTCGTTCGTTCAGGCGTTTGTTCCGTCGGCCCTTTCAAAGTCTCCAATTCGGTCGTCAATTCCTGCTGGTTGGGTCAGGTCATGCATATGTGGTTTGGGTTGGTGATTTGGGGGGTCTGGAAAAGTCAACACATCCTCTTTCACTTACTTTGGGATTCCAAAGGCGGTCAGTAGGTGGTGGACAAATGTGGACAAGTCTCTCAATCAGTTTGATGATTCCATATTTTCTAGACCATCCAAACCACCACATAAGCACATGTCGATTAGGTCAATATATGCCCATTTGCAACAAAACATGAAAGTAATTCCCAGTTTCTTCCCAAGGTTGACCGAGGAATCAACATCGTCCAGCTTCTATGGTGAAGTTGCTCTTTCCTTTCTCTTTCCATGCGCCAAATGAGAACTGGCATTGAAGATGAATGAAGAGAACTGGCATCGAAGATGAATTAACATTAAGTACGATGAAAAACATCGGATGAACAAAAATTGGCTGCCGCCACCATCAGAAGACCACATCTTGCGAGACAAGTTGCTTGGATCCTTTTTTCTGCAGCTTCCAACCTTAGTGGGCACATGTTGGTACCCAGCTGAAGACCGAGAGAGCAATAGATATTCAAACTTTTTGGCACAAACACATTGGAGAGGTTGAGATTGACTCTTCACCTGCCCTGACCACATCAAAAATATGTCGTAAAGATCCAAAAAGCACGGGTCTAAATCCAATTTCAAACATCAAACATGCATATTTCATTGAAAGTTCACAGAATTCCTAGAGAAATATAGTGAAACATCAAGCATCACATGTGGCTCAGAAATCCTGGCTTTTCAATTTAAAGCCTAGTTCTCCAACGTGCCTCAGCTAACGCCCAACATAGAAAGTGAATCTTCGATGTATCAAATCTTCATCCACACCCAAATCACCAGCTCACATTCACCAAAGTTGAATGTCAACTACTGTCAAACATATACTTTTAGATCTGTTAGTTGAATATCACTATGTTCCTTCATCAAAATTGCTCAACAGTATTCCTTTCACCATCCATTCCACACTTAAAGAGTCATTTGCCAGTGAAGCATCCAACATGTTCATAAATTGGTGTAGAAAACAATGGATTTGGGGTTATCGAAGTTTCCGTATCCCCAAAATGGATTCAGACCAATTAAACATAACCTTTTTTTATACCTTAGCCGTCACTTTTTGGTACACCAATTTCGACTCTGTATCCATTCTATTCTGGAACAAACCACCTGTATTCATGAGGGGAGATTTGATAATAGTGACAATTCCAATTGCACATTGTAACACACCATGTTGACGAACTGTTTTATACTAGCCCTGCATTGACATGCCCTCACTTTTTAGAAACATGTCCGCAATTTGCAATTTTGTAGGTCCATACAATAAAGGTGCCAAACTTTCATAAACCCGCACCCAGAAAGCCATTCTCAAAGAAACCATCATCAGGGTTTCTGAAGATTTTTCTTTTGAACATTATATTTTGAAGTCCCGGTTTTGGATATACCAATTGGCATTCTTAAGTACTCCATTCCATCGATATATTAGGTCCCAAACCAGAGGTACCCCAGAGGGTCGGCCAGGATATTGCTTATCATGGTTGTAGCTGTTGATCTCAAGACAATACATATATATATATACATAGTATAACATAATATAACATAATATCAAACAATACAATATAATATAATATAACATAATATAAGATAAGATAATATTATATTATATAATATAATATAACATGATATAATATAATATATATTAAACATGGATACAAATATAGATATAAAGCTTTCCTATCAAGAGAGAAATCGTTCAATTAATTCTACATCAATTCCTTAAAATCATGAACATCCTAATACATCAAAAATACACCACTATCATATGCCTGAGAAACTCTAAGTAGCTCCTTATACAGTATCTCCTTGGCTCCCAATGGCTAAACGGGAATATGAATGAATATGAATTCCCGAAACACTGCGAACCGCTGCTTCCTAATCACCGGATATAACCATGTCCCCATTTACATCATCCCATTACATTCTTTCACCTTTAAATCTTGTTCATTTTACTGTATATTACATTACATTACAATATATATATATATATATCCCATTGAGAATGGATTTTCATATGTTTTCATGGGATTATCTCCCCATTTCTTTCTACATCCCCATGAAAATCCCGAATGATCTCCCCATCCTCTCCACATCCCAGCGTCTTCTCGGCCAACGTCTTCACCTCCGCTTCAGCCCCTTCGGCGCGCTCGGCCAGCTGCGTGACCACCTGGCTGGGTCAGGCGGAAAGGTGAAAACTTTCACCCTCAAAATCCAGCAGCGTCCATTTAAGAACATCCAACGAATCCAAAGCATTTTGCTGAGTTCCTCAAAATCGAGGATGCAGCGAAAAGGGACACCACCCACCGAGAAACCAGTTGCAGTTGTGGCTGTGGATCAGGTTAAGGATTATGCCCTCCTGAACATCATCTAACTGAAATTGTTCCAAAAAAACTTGGATATACTGGAGACAAAACTCATTCCAACTATTTCTTGAAGTGATGCCCCTCTCAATCCCTACTTGGGGCAATTCCGGTGAAATAAGTGGGTATACAACTACAGTCAGGGGGGTTCTCTCGGGACTTGTAGGGGTTATTACTATAGTTACAATATGACATGCTACAACCCCCGGAAATCGGAAAGAACCAACTATAAGCCCAATAACTAACAATGGTATAACATGGTATAACCATCCTTTGATAACCACTATGACTATAACCACGTAATAACCCCAACTGCACCCCCTCAATCATCCAATTGTTGGATAGCCACCGTTGCGAACTCCTTGACCACAGCAATCTCTGGATGCTTCTCCTGGTGAAGAACTGCTGACGCCAACATATGGAAAACCTAGGAAAATTCACGGAAAACCTGGGAAAAACATATGGAAAACCCATGAAAACCCTACTGCTCCAAATATCCTTAATTCGCTTGCGGTGCGAATAAACCTCCAATCCAACCAACCCCAATACGGCCAAGGTGTGTTTGAAGCTGGGAATAACTTCCATATCCATTTTATCTTGCTGTAGGGTAATTCAAAACATATGGTTTTTCCATGTTTTTCTACAAGAAATATGGAGTCTGCAGTGGAATTTCATATGCAAGAAATGTGGATGTTGCAAACACATCTGTGAATATGGCCTTTTTTTTAAAAGGGCGATACACACCAAACCGGTACTTTGGATGAGATATCCCCCATAGGAATAGAACATGACAATGGGGGATATCAGCCACTCATCGATCCTCTCCATTTCCAAACAGGTTCAATTGGGTGTTTCTTGAAATGTGTGTACTCCAAAACCGGCGTTTTCCCCATTAAAAATAGGTTTCATTCCCCTATCAAAATGGCCATCTTTGAAGGCGTTCTCCACTCTCAGATTAACCCAAATGAATCCAAATGAATCATTTTGGATAGTTCATGGTTACACCCATTAAAAAACCCACTTGGAGACTGCGAGAAAAACCCACAGCTCCACGGCCTTCCACACAGGGCTTGTAGGGCGATCTGGTGCTCGTTCAGAACAGACGTTCCTGAGAATTCCCGATTGGTCAACAAGCAGCGGTTACAAACCCGTGAATGGTTTCTTCTATGCAATTTTGTTTCAGATAAAACCATTTCACCACTAATTTTTGATGAACCATGATAAAACCACTTGTCGGATATTTTCCAGGGGTTGGTAAATGTCGGAATTGAACCACACCCAACTATTGAGGATATGATCTCCACCAGATACTTTTTCAAGTGATGTTCAAAATCCCAAAAACAGGGACGTTTACAGTTGATTTTCCCATTAACACGCTTCATTTACAAGGGATTTCCCATCATTCCCCCCACAAGTCTAGATTATTTCTCCCATAAAAACCTCCGTTTTACCCAAATTTCCCCACCATTTCCCATGATTTTCCCACATTTTCCCATGAATTTCCCATAAAAACCATCCGTTTCCCTCCAGCTCATGGGCCAGGGCACACCGCCTCCAGCATCCCTGGTCGCACTTCAGACCACTTCCTGAGCCGATTCAAACACACCCTTGGAAACCGGTTGGAAACTCATGGGGATTTTGTGGGATTTTCAGGGATCTCAATGGATATGTTATGGGATTTTATGGATTTTATGATGGATTTTATGAAGCAAACACAAGTGTCAATGGGTTTCTGAAAGAGAGAATTCGCAGGAAGATATCTCCAATATCAGAAAATTAAGAAGTCATGTATCAATGATCGATGGGTTTATGAAAGATACAATTTTGCAGAAACCAATGCTTTGCTTCGACTTCCAGCACATCTTCACTTCGATGGACAAGTGCAGCCACTACAATTTCAGGGGGACAGTGAGCATTTGATGTACGCTATCACGCTATCCCAACGAAATTTGCTGGGACATAAACGCATGTTTGAAACCACTAAGCAAGGATAGCAAAGATAGGATCTGAACCCAGGAACCTGAAACTAGAAGCAACACACTAATTGTCCTTTGGTAAGTCCAAAAATAAATACACATTGCTATAGTAACTATAGGTGATATGAACCATCCCCAATCGGATGAATATCATCGGTAACTTTCCACGGGTCTAAACGGTGGTTCCCCCCGGTAATAGGTTGATTAATAATTCCCATGAATCACAGATATACCTACCATAAACCCCTGATTTGCCTAGTTGTAACGCAACTTAGCTATATAATGATGTGTAATGATATGATAACCATCTATTAGATCTATTAGGATGTGTAATTTCATACCATAAACTTCATCAATTTTCTTAATCACCAGAATAGATCTAGAAATTTGATGAAATTTATGCTTATAAAGGTTAATACCATAAACCTTCATCAATCTTCATCAATCTTGATTATTAACGATTATTAACCATCATTATCCCATATTAAATCAATGTTGTCACCACCAACCAGATAAACATATCAACCATAAACGGTGACACATCGACCAGGGGCACCAGCGACAAACCAAGCGACACATCGAAGGTGACAGCATCCCCGGGCATGGGCATCCCATTGCAACTGGCCATACGGAAGAAGACGTCCTGGTGCAGTGGAGCGGTGTTCAATAGGCTTAATTAGTGGTTAGAATATGATGGTTAATGAGTTAGTATATTCTAACCATCATGGTTAGTATTAATCTCTAACTCACTAACCATCTCTAACTATATCCATGGTTAGTGAGTTAGTATATCCATGGTTAGTGATGGTTAGAATACTGAAATCTATTTTAACTGAACTCACATGGTGCTTTCGCAAAACTGAACTTCCCCAATTTTTGTTCAGTCAGAATGAAGCATTGACACCAGCTGCACAAAATGGGGATGAGCCAAAACATCTGCCCAAATTGCTGTTTGACCTTGTTCCCGATTGTTGTTGGTTACATCAACATTTGCTGCTTCTGTTCCCATTCTCGTTGCTGAAGTCATCGTCACCATTTGGATGGTGAAATCTCCAATGTTTCTGAGTTGGTTGAACCAGCAAGAATCTAAGAATGGGGATTTCCCATGGGTTTTCTGTTGTTTTTTCCCCATTCCAAAAAAAAAAGTGTATGGCTATGTATGGCTTGCTTCCAGGTCACACTTCCCGCATCCGACACAATGAAGCCATGACCGCCTCAGTTGCGGTAACCCTAGTTTTGCCATTGGATATGTACTATGAACTCCTCTAAACACACCAGAATCACCAATGGATTGTTACTTATATGTTTACAATTTCGGTATAAGTTGCAATAGCAAAGGGGGTTATGTCATTGTTTCTTTATCCACAACCACGTAGGGTTTTGGGGAGGAAAACACGCCGCCAAGACAACAACCCTTTAACGTTCAACGAACAACATCGATTTCTCGACGAATGATTGAACGGATCTTGGAAACTATCCAACATACTCAGCAAAAAACAAGAAAATAATGTCATACGACCATCAGGTCTGTCCTTATCTAAACTATTGGGATCATCCAAAGGGGCTGGGGCCATGATGAACTAGCTCCATCTGTTCACCGCTGTTTAATATTGTTCACCTGTTGAACATATCAACAAATATCCAACAAAACATAGTGTCTCTATTCTGGTGAATATCAACGGTTTTCACTTTATATTGACATACTCAGACATACCCTAATTGTTCAATATAAACCACTATGATTAACCAATGTTAACCTATGTTAACCATTCAACTGCCGTTAAGCTGTCCCGAGTCCCCACCAACCAGCAAAGGCTCTGGAGACAGACTTCACCTCGCCCTTCTGATTCTGCTGCACGAAAGTCTGATGACCATCGAACTGCACGGACCTCGCTGTTTGAAACGTGTGAAACACCGGGAGAACCCAAGGAGGGCTGGAACAAAACCAGCCAAATCTTGGTGAAGATTGGGGATAATACAGGACTGAAAGTTTGATTGAGATAAACTTTTTGAAGTACTATCACCCAAAATGCTGAAAACCTCCATTGACAATCAAAAAAAGAACAGAATCGTTGAATAAACATATGCGCATGCAATCAACTGTGAGGACCCACTTGCCAGCCATCGTTCATAGTGGACTGCCTAGAGACCCTAAACCATCCCAAAAATGGCTGCTTGGTTGCAGCATCATGTCGGAGGTTTATCAGAACTGGGAAGACTGCCGAACAAAAACCAATTCTTTGTCAAAGGATGTCACAGGCAAACATTCACAGAGCCTCATACAAATCCCAAAAACACCCTCCACATTTCACGCCGGAAACGAATGGGTTCTAATGCTCCACCTCCCGAATTCATGTCCGTTGGCTACCCTCTGGTCAAGTGCATGCTGGAAAATCAGACATATTGATGTAGGTGAATCAGCTTTTTAAAGGAAAAAAAACAAATTTAAAGTGATCTTCTCTTGCCATGTTAGATGAACTCTCAGCCTACTAATATCAGGTTTCAACTACCCCCAATCCAAATCCTGGTTCAACGGCAAATCTCTCATCATGTGCTGTCCCTCATGCCCTCATTGTGCGTATTGGCAGTATCTGCTCGCATGGGGGTGGGATTTTTGAAGGTAATCACCATTTTTTGGGACAAAACCCGAACATTCCACGCCGTTCAGAAATTCAAAAAACAACTTTCCGAAAAACGTCACCCAAATTTAACTTGCAATTTACCATGATAAGTCACCCCACTCCTCACCATTTTTCATGGAAAACATCAGTGTAACAACATGAATTTTCCCGGCATCACCAAGCAGCTTGGCTTGAAGTTGTTTTGGGTTGGATGCCCGCCTGGCGGTGCGGAAAATATACGGGAACTTCGTCAAAACTTCGTCAAAAGGTGGCTTGACCCCAGAAAAAGTGGGACTTTCCCTGGACTTGAACTTGGCAATTCCCAGCCATCTTTACCAACTTGTTGACCAAAAAAGATATTCCTCTGCCATGGTTATTTTCCAATGAAATCATCTTAAATCCATCTCCGCGTTCCCATGGGTCGATTGTCGATTCCCCACCTCTCAACGGTGAACTTGACCATGTCACCCACACGTGGAGTGTGCTGCCCGCAATCGCTGAGGTGCAGAAAGACATCCTTCGCAGCGATGGAAACATATGGAAACATCCCAACAGGGCCGTGGTGCACTCAGTAAACAACCCATTTGTATCCATTTGTAGTGCCATTTGTATTGAATTCATGTGAATCTGTGAATCCTACAACCACATGTCTTCACAGAGTGAACCGGACGGTTGTGAACTGCCCGGATTTCCCCCCAAAAAAAACGCAAGGAATTCAACATGGGATGGTTCCTACATTGATCGGTCCAGCTGTGCTCCTTGGCGCCTCACAAATTGATCAATGCACAATCTACCGAAATCGATGGTTCAGATCCGAATCTGCATAAGTGTCATAAGTGTCATGTAAACCAACCCCGCTTTTTGTGGTTTCCACCATCATTTAGGTTGATTGAATCCCCATTTTTGTTCAGTTTCTACGATCATCTGCATTGAAACAAACAGAAAACCATCGCATGTCCAAACAAACCGTTTATCCGTTTAAAAGACAACAGATAACAACAAAAAAAATAAAACCATCGCAACAAATAGAACATCGCAATAGGATTATCATGGATGATCATCAACAAATCCCTATGATCCTTACTGTAATCCACGGCCAAAATGGCCAAGGTGCCAAGCCATTGCAGTCGATAAAACCATAGCGCCGCTCAGGGAAGAAGATCTGGCGTGAGGGACGATCTCCATGGCACAGTTTTGTTGGGACCTCATGGGAGTCTTGGGATATCCTAGGTATATATCCCATTAATGCGAACCATGGTGCTGGTACACTCTTGAATATTAACATACACCCTGTGGTTCAAAATCTGTAAAATTGACGAACACCTTACCCCTGGGTCTAGGGTGTATGTTAATGATGATTTTGGAGTCGCGAAGCATGGAAACATTGCAAAAATTCATTAACATAAACCCTGTGGACCGTGACAACAAAATGCATGAATCAGTTGCAAATATCCAAACAGCTCTTAACATACACCTAGATACAGAAGATACAGAAGGCCCAACCAGCCCCGAAAACTCTCCGACGACGATCAATAAATTCAGCAGCGCATTTTTTTCGATAGCCTCCCCAAAGGCGATCTCGGTTTTTCTGTTCTGTGCTCTTGTAAACTCATTTCAACGCTAGGTCCAAAAATGCCAGATAGCCAACACACTGGTTTCTACGCAAAACGTTGGACTTCTCTATACTGTTTCTTTTTGAACATTACCCTCTGGTAAATTAACATAGACCCTGGCAGATAGGGGTTGGAAGATTAGTTTTCATTGAAACTAAGCTATTTTCAATGTCTATGCTAATTTACCAGAGGGGGTACTGTAGATTAAAAAGTACCAGTTGGCTAACACCCTGGCTTCTCCGCAAAGCATGGGTCTTCCCGTTGAGTAGGAACACCAGCAGCAATGAGACATGAACATTGATGTTGGCATGTTAGTGTTTTAACACACACCTCATTTTTGAACCAAAAAATCTGAGGTGTATGTTAAGATTCCGGCAAATATGTAAAAAAAATGAGGTGTACGTTAAAGAAAAAAAACAAGGAAAATGCACTCGAGCTACTATCATCAAGGATTGTTAACATTCTGCGAGGTGCCCTGGGAGGGGTCATGTTAAGGTAAAAAAGCAAGGAAAACGCACTTCGAACTCCTATCATCAAGCATTGTTAACATTCTGCGGGGCGCTCTGGGAGGGGCATGTTAAGATAAAAACGCAAGGAACACGCACTTCGAACTACTCTCTTAAATATTAACGAACACCTCATTTTTGAGCAAAAAAAATCTGAGGTGTATGTTAAGATTCCGGCAAATATGTAAAAAAAAATGAGGTGTACGTTAAAGAAAAAAAACAAGGAAAATGCACTCGAGCTACTATCATCAAGGATTGTTAACATTCTGCGAGGTGCCCTGGGAGGGGTCATGTTAAGGTAAAAAAGCAAGGAAAACGCACTTCGAACTCCTATCATCAAGCATTGTTAACATTCTGCGAGGTGCTCTGGGAGGGGCATGTTAAGGTAAAAACGCAAGGAACACGCACTTCGAACTACTATCATCACGGATTGTTAACATGCAGCGCGGAGCTCTGGGAGGGGTCATGTTAAGGTAAAAAAACCTATCTTCGAAGCCGTTTGGTGGTCAAACACGCGACCTTGGCAGCCATGTTGGCAGTGCGTGAACGCCGCGTGAGTGGCAAGTCACCTCCTGACAGAAATACCGATTCTTGCACGCACTGGGTACGTAATAACATATCCAGCATGACTGGCCAGCCAACTGACCTCCAAGGAAAATCACCATTATCCCATTCAATGTTTAGGCAATGATACCTTCCAGTACTTTAACATAGACCCTGCCGTAGGGCTTCCTCGATTCTCTTATATATACTTTTTTAAAAACAAAATATCACAGTGCTTGAACTTGTATATACTTTTCTGAAAAACAAATAACACGGTGCTGCAGGGTCTATGTTAAGGGGAAATAGGAGCCCAAAAAGCTACAAAGATTCCAAAATGCAGAAGGGTCAATGTTTTTTGCCCTCTCATGGGGTCCCCCCTTCTTGGAGCCAAAAAATGTTACAAACCAACAATTCTATAAGGAAACTTTTGTACAAAAAAACAGATGTTGTGTTTTGTTTTTTTTTGGGGCTCTCCCAATTTTCTTATATATATTTTATTAAAAACAAAATATCACAATGCTTGAACGGGGTCTATGTTAAGGGGAGTTCAGAGGTATGACAATGATCCCGATTGTCTTGTATACACTTTTCTGAAAAACAAATTACTTTACTTCGTGTGATCCCCACCATGACATTTATACATTTTCTTACTGGCAAATCTTCTGGCATTCTATCTGACATATCTTCTGACATTCTATTTGACATTCTATCTGGCATATCTTCTGGCATATGATCTGGCATATCTTCTGGCATATCTTCTGGCATTCTATCTGGCAAATCTTCTGGCATTCTATCTGGCATATCTTCTGGCATTCTATTCTGACATATCTATCTGGCATATCTCTGGCATATATTCTGACATATCTTCTGGCATTCTATCTATTCTATCTGACATTCTATCTGGCATATCTTCTGGCATATCTTCTGGCATATCTATCTGGCATATCTTCTGGCATATTTTCTGGCATCTATCTGGCAAATCTGGCATTCTAATCTATCTGGCTATCTGGCTATCTGGCATTCTGTCTGGCATATCTTCTGGCATATTATCTGGCATTCTATCTGGCATATCTTCTGGCATATCTTCCGGCATATCTTCTGACATTCTTTCTGACATTCTTTCTAACTTTCTTCTGCACATTCTTTGTCCCATATCTTCCTACATGAGGTCCGGCAGGGAACACTTGGCGTGGATACTCGCGGTTGAGGTCCGGCAGGGAACACTGGGCGTGGATGGTCGGGGTTGAGGTCCGGCAGGGAACACTGGGCGAGGATGGTCGTGGTTGAGGTCCGGCAGGGAACATTGGCGTGATCGTGTTGAGGTCCGGCAGGATCACTGGGCGTGAATGGTCGTGTTGCTGTCCCGCAGAGAACACTGGGTATCGCGGGTCGCCTTGAGCAATTACGACAGAACGACTAGGAGATGAGAGAGGAGGGACGAGGAGGAGGAGAGGAGGAGGAGGACTAAGGAGGAGAAAGAGAGAGGCAACCTGAGCACTAATCTAACAAACCCTCACCTGGCAGGGTGGAATAACATGGTGCTGCTACAGGGTCTATGTTAAGGGGAATAGGAGCCCAAAAAAGCTACACAGAATCCAAAATGCAGAAGGGTCAATGATTTCTGCCCTCTCGTGGGGTCCCCCCCTTCTTGGAGCCAAAAAATATTACAAATCAACAATCCTATAAGGAAACTTTTGTACAAAAAAAGGAAGTTGTATTTTGTTTTTTTCCAGGATACCCCGATTTTCTTGCATCTACTTTTTAAAAACAAAATATCACAATGCTGGAACGGGGTCTATGTTAAGGGGAGTTCAGAGGTATGACAATGATCCCGAATTCCTTGTATATACTGTTCTGAAAAACAATAACATGGTGTTGCTACAGGGTCTATGTTAAGGGGAATAGGAGCCCAAAAAAGCTACACAGAATCCAAAATGCAGAAGGGTCAATGATTTCTGCCCTCTCGTGGGGTCCCCCCTTCTTGGAGCCAAAAAATGTTACAAATCAACAATTCTATAAGGAAACTTTTGTACAAAAAAACGGATGTTGTGTTTTGTTTTATTTTTGGGGCTGCCCCGATTTTCTTACATCTACTTTTTTAAAAACAAAATATCAAAGTGCATAGACAAGCCCAATGTTTTGCGTAGAAACCAGTGTGTTGGCCATCTGGCACTTTTTCACCAAGCATTATGCATGCCTCTGGGGAGGCAGAGTAGAGCAGGATATGGTGCCCAGGTGTATGTTAAACACCTAACATGCCAACATCAATGTTCATGTCTCATGCTGCTGGCACTCCTACTCAACGAGAAGACCCATGCTTTGCGGAGAAGCCAGGGTGTTGGCCAACTGGTACTTTTGAATCTACAGTACCGGTAATGTTCAAAAAGAAACAGTATAGAGAAGCCCAATGTTTTGCGTAGAAACCAGTGTGTTGGCCATCTGGCATTTTTGGACCTAGCGTTGAAATGAGTTTACAAGAGCACAGAACAGAAAAACCGAGATCGCCTTTGGGGAGGCTATCGAAAAAAATGTGCTGCTGAATTTATTGATCGTCGTCGGAGAGTTTTCGGGGCTGGTTGGGCCTTCTGTATCTTCTGTATCTAGGTGTATGTTAAGAGCTGTTTGGATAATTGCAACTGATTCATGGATTTTGTTGTCACGGTCCACAGGGTTTATGTTAATGATTTTTTGCAGTGTTTACCATGCTTCGCGACTCCAAAAGCATCATTAACATACACCCTAGACCCAGGGGTAAGGTGTTATCCAATTTTCCTGTTTTTGCACCACAGGAAAAAAAAACAAAATACAACTTCCTTTTTTTGTACAAAAGTTTCCTTATAGAATTGTTGATTTGTAACATTTTTTGGCTCCAAGAAGGAGGGACCCCACGAGAGGGCAGAAATCATTGACCCTTCTGCATTTTGGATTCTGTGTAGCTTTTTTGGGCTCCTATTCCCCTTAACATAGACCCTGTAGCAACACCATGTTATTGTTTTTCAGAACAGTATATACAAGGAATTCGGGATCATTGTCATACCTCTGAACTCCCCTTAACATAGACCCCGTTCCAGCATTGTGATATTTTGTTTTTAAAAAAGTAGATGCAAGAAAATCGGGGTATCCTGGAAAAAAACAAAATACAACTTCCTTTTTTTGTACAAAAGTTTCCTTATAGGATTGTTGATTTGTAACATTTTTTGGCTCCAAGAAGGGGGGACCCCATGAGAGGGCAAAAAACATTGACCCTTCTGCATTTTGGAATCTTTGTAGCTTTTTGGGCTCCTATTTCCCCTTAACATAGACCCTGTAGCAGCACCGTGTTATTTGTTTTTCAGAAAAGTATATACAAGTTCAAGCACTGTGATATTTTGTTTTAAAAAAGTATATATAAGAAAATCGAGGAAGCCCTACGGCAGGGTCTATGTTAAAGTACTGGAAGGTATCATTGCCTAAACATTGAAAGGGATAATGGTGATTTTCCTTGGAGGTCAGTTGGCTGGCC